ATCCACAAGTCCGAAAACTCTTAACGAAGCGTTGACAAGTGCTTTAAAATATGAATCTTTCAAAAGAGGGCGAGCGAAGCGATTGACTCCAAATATTGGGCGTGATGATAATTCCACTTTATTGGTTGAGACTAACCTTGCCGTTAACAAGATGACATTCTCGGAAATGGAATCTAGAATCCAAACCTTGGAAAAATCCTTATCTGAACGGAATCAGAATGACAATGATCGGCGTCCATCAAGACCTTGCGGAATTTGTAGATCGAAAGAACACTTTTCCACATATTGTCCAAATAAGCATCCCAAAGCGAGAAATGGCAACCGGTGTTGTTGGATTTGTGGATCTGCAGATCATTACATGCGTGAATGCCGGAAGCAGATTCAAAATAGTTCGGGAAACGATCAATAGTCGAGTCACAGGGTCAGACTTCGACTGATGATTCCAAAAGACCCTATATATTTAATCATTTGACCGATAGTCGTTACAATGGCTTATATTTGCAATTGAATTTTGGGGAAATTACTGTTCCTGCATTAATCGATACCGGTGCAAATGTGAGCATATTGTCGACTGAAACTAGCAAATTATTAGGAGTGTTCGAACAATGTAAAACAAGCAATTTGAATATATCCGTGGCAAATGGTAACAAAGTAAAGTGTCATGGTAGAATTGAATGTGGATTTTATTTAGGTCAGGGTATACGGGTGGTTCAAACATTATTAGTGGCCGACATAACCACTCCGGCTGTGTTAGGCTACGATTTTTTAAAGAATCAAAAGGCAATCCTTAATGTCGGGGATGCACTGTTGACTATGCATGGCAAAGATTTTGATTGTATATTAGAAACTGATTTGTCTACCAAGTGCCGAATTTTAATGCAAGATACTGTCAGAGTGCCTCCCATGACAGAAATGATTGTTCCCGGAAAAGTACAATGTCAACACTTGGGTGATACACCTCTGTTAATTGAAATGAATGGGAATTTGGCAGATAGAGAAAAATTTCCTCCCCTGATTATTGCCAAATCCCTTGTTGACCCTAGTCAACCTTTTATTCCAATTAGATTGGCTAATCTTAGTTTAGAACCCTTGTTCCTTTACAAGAATACTGCAGTAGCGACTGGGGAACCAATGTTTAACATAGGGGATCCTGTTGTTTCTTGTGGGGAAAAACTTGACATTGAGGGTGGTACTTATCCGGAAATTGGTAATTCAATGAGAGATGGTCCACAGGGGGTGAAGGGCAAACGTGCCAGACTACGACCTGACATTTTACCTCGTGACGTAATTGGGGAGTCTCGATGCGATGATGACGATCATTCAGAGACTGACGATCCCTTATGCGCTGGAAACGTCCTAACTAGGGATCTGAGATTATGTTCAGGTCTGACCCCTTGCACTGCTGTAGCTGACGAGGCGCTGGAAAGTGAGGCTGGAAAGTCCTTAGATGACGTGCCGAACGCGCACCTCGGGCAGCCCTATACCGCTAGGATGATTGATTGTCCAGGTCACGCCCTCTGTTCTCATGACGATGGTGTAGCAAGGTATGAACGAGTGACTGGAAATAACATTGCAGCTGGTGGCATTGAATACCAATCTCTGGAAAAGACGTATGAAGATATACCGGACCATTTAAGACATCTGATTGACGATTCAACGGAAAACTTGTCAGATCGCGACCGTTCCAGAGTTAAGAATTTTCTGTTACAAAATCAAGATGTTTTTGCGAAATCTAAATTTGATTTAGGAAAGACGGAAGTTATAAAGCATAAAATTGACACCGGAAATGCCCGACCCATCAAACAACCTGTTAGACGTGTGCCTTTGTCTAAACAGACTGATTATGACAAGGCCTTGGACGAGATGATTGAACATGACATAGTTAAGCCATCCAAAAGTCCTTGGGCCTCACCTGTTGTGATGGTGCCAAAGAAGGATGGTAGCTATAGGTACTGTATAGATTTCAGACAACTTAATGACGTCACCATCAAAGACGCATATCCGTTGCCCAGAATTGATGATACTTTGGACTCTTTGTGCGGTTCTAAATACTTCACTGTACTTGACTTGGCTAGTGGGTTTTGGCAGATAGCTATGGACGATGCTGACGCTGAAAAGACCGCTTTCTGCACCAAACATGGTTTGTATGAATTTAATGTAATGGCGTTCGGTCTGGCTAATGCCCCAGCCACTTTTCAGAGGCTTATGGAATGCGTGTTTGCTGGTTTGTCTCCGGAGATGTGTTTAGTCTATCTCGATGATATAATTGTATTCAGCAAGGACGTTGAAAGTCATTTGGAAAAATTAGGTCAAGTCTTTGAAAAATTGAGAAGTTCTGGGTTGAAATTGTCCCCGAAAAAATGTAAGTTGTTTCAAAAAGAAGTATCCTATTTGGGTCATGTTGTGTCTGAAGATGGAGTAAAAATTGATCGAAAGAAAACTGAGGCAATTGTGAAATGGCCTGTTCCTCGTACTGTGAAACAAATCCAGTCCTTTGTAGGCTACTGTTCTTATTATAGGAAGTTCATTCCAGGTTTTTCAGGACTGGCTAGACCCTTGTTCAAACTTACTGAGAAAGGTGTTCCATTTGTCTGGTCAGGGGATTGTCAATTTGCCTTTGAGGAATTGAAGAGACTTTATTTGAGTTCTGCATTGTTGGCCTACCCAGATAAGTCCAAAGAGTTTATCTTGGATACTGATGCTTCTGCTTGTCAGGTTGGTGCTGTGTTACAACAGGAAGTTGATGGTGAAATGAAAGTTGTCAGTCATTATAGCAAATCATTGTCCAAACCTGAGCGTAACTATTGTGTCACTAGATTGGAATTGTTGGCTATAGTGAGGGCTGTTAAAGTGTTTCACCATTACCTTTACGGCAGTCGTTTCAAAGTCAGAACGGATCATGGCTCTTTGGCTTGGTTGTTGAGGTTTAAACATCCTGAAGGACAGATTGCCCGGTGGTTAGAGTTATTGGGGCAATATGACTTCAAAATTGAACATCGACCTGGTACAAAACATCTGAACGCCGACGGAATGTCTAGACGTCCCTGTACTGACTGTGCATATTGCGAAAGACAAGAGAAACTGGGTAGAGTTCCTGGGAAGGAGGAAGCCTTGACTGATCCTGAGGCTAACTTGCTTCTTAGAAGTTTTGACGTGATCTTTGACTCAAACTTAGAGCCAGAGCTTGTTCATACTCTCAAATTGAGGAATCTTCCTGTTTCAGGGTGCACTTGGGCACCGGGAATATCTCTCAAAGAGTATGAAGAGGCCTTGGCTCAGGATCCATGTCTTTTAACAATCAAAAATTGGCTTAAGGTGGGGAACCGACCTGACTGGGCAGACGTATCAGACAAATCACCTACCTTTAAACATTACTGGTCTCAGTGGGACAGGTTCAAATTGGAACAGGGAATTATTTATCGGAAATGGGTAGATACTGACACTGGGATCATTAGCTGGCAAATCGTGGTGCCTGAAAATATGCGCCAAACCATTTTAAAAATGACTCATGGGGCTCTTGACAGTGGGCATTTCGGGGTCAATAAATCTCTTGATCGTTTGAGGGCCAAATACTATTGGGTTGGTTTCAAGTCTGACCTTGCTAGATGGGTAGCGGGGTGCCTGTTGTGTCAGAGGAGAAATCCACCCAATAAGAAACATCGAACACCAATGAAACAATACAATGTGGGTGCTCCTCTTGAGAGGATAGCCATCGATATTTTGGGAGTTTTACCAGAAAGTCTATTTGGGAACAAGTATGTGGTATCAATTGAAGATTATTTCACGAAGGTCCTGGCATTGGTTCCCGTCCCTAATCAAGAAGCTGCCACGGTGGCAGAAGCTCTGCTGCACCATTTCATTTGTATTTATGGGTCACCTCTTCAAATTCATTCCGACCAAGGAGCCCAGTTTGAATCAAAACTATTTAAAGAATTATGTGAAATGTTCCGCATGAGTAAGACAAGAACGACTCCATATCATCCACAGTCTGATGGTATGGTAGAAAGATCAAACAGGACTGTGGAGGCTATGTTGTCTAAAATTGTTGCATCCGATCAGAGGGACTGGGACCGATGTCTCCCCTTTGTTGTTTCTGCTTACAACAGTGCTGTTCATGCTACTACTGGCTACAGCCCAAATTTTCTGATGTTCGGAAGGGAGGTTCGGACCTCCACCGATCTGTTGCTCGGGCCTCCTCCTGAAATTGAGAGGGGAGAACTTGATAGCACATGTCATACAAAATACTGTGAGAAATTACAAGAAGTTCTACTCAATATTCACGAGGCGGCTCGCGGCAATATCCAATTATCTAGTGACCGACAGAAGAGAGGGTATGATGTCAAAGCAAATTTAAAGTCATTCGAAAAGGGATCACGTGTTTGGGTCCATATACCAGCTGTGAAGGTTGGCCAGACTCCTAAGTTTGCTCTAAAGTGGCATGGACCCTATGAGGTGGCGGAGAAAATAGATGATTTAAGGTATCTAATCAAAATTAACGAGAGAGATACAAGAGTCATTCACCACGATCGCCTCAAAACATTCATTTCACAAAATACTAATGAGAGTCTAGATCAAGAGACTGAAACCCCTGTTGAGAATTCCCAACCCTCAGATTTTGAGAATGCTCCCGAAATTGAGAACTCTAGAAGGCAAAGGACCCGAAAGAAACCTGAGTGGCTGACTGATTATGTTATAGAGTAGCTCCATGTTAGATTTCACGAGTCGAGTCAAGTGCCTTAATATTCTTATCATGTACATTTAATCTATATTACTTTCACGATTATCTTTAATGTGATTTAACTTGTGCTTATGGCTTGTACCCGTTCTTATAAACTTTCTTTTAGCCCTTTTTGATCGTAGAGGATTAACTTTTAAAGACTTGAATAGATTGAAAAAGGGATGAAAAGATGTTCATTCTAAATTCAATATGGTCAAGTATATATGTATTAATTAAATATCAAGAAAACTAGTACCTTAAGACCCTAGGGGAGGTTCGTATAAAAATACTTAAAACCTTCCTAGTAGGGTAAAGAGGGTAAGAGTTTTATTTTGTTGTAGGTGTGCCAGATGGCTGGTAAACCACCCCAGGGATGGCCCGTTGGGCGCCACTATAAGTGCCTCAAGCAATTTGTTTCTAGAGAGGACTGGGAATTACACCGGTGTTTTTCCCATGATGCCTCCGTGGCCTGCGGAGTGGGAAGTTGTACGGCTGCCTTTACTCCATCAGATGCAGAGGCTCTGGCCTTCCATAGGCGCAGACACCCTACCGTCGAGGAGCCGCCCCGAAAGAAATCCAAAGGATCTCAACCCAAGGAGGGGGATGGCACGGGGCAGGAGCTGGGGGTCGATCCCGCATCGATCTCGATGCCCCAGCTCACAGCCGCTGTGCATCCCCTGCGGGATTTAGAGGACGGGCCGGAACTAGCAGATTCCCCTCTGGTCCGAGGATTGCTGGCGGAGAGCGGGGATCCTCTGCTGGGGATGGACAGCAGAGCGGTTGGAGAATACCTGGAAGGGCCGGATGTAGACTTGGAGGGGCTGGACTTAGACTTTTTGAACAGTGCATAGACTTTTTGGGTGATTTGTTGTGACTTGTTAATGTAAATTCTCCTGAATACAGTGAGGCGGTTAGCTTAATTAGCTTGATTTTTATGTTTGAGGACAAAACTGAATTTTTTAAGAAGGGGGTAGTTGTAGAGACCCACCCTGTATATAGCTATTTATTATATCGTATTTATCCAGTGTGTGTCCCTTTAATATCTATAATCAGTATTTAACCATATCCTGTCCCTTTAACATGATCACATTATTGCAATACGTATGCCAGAATCATCGTATCAGAGCTAGTATATTTATAGAGAAAACCTATTTATCATTGTAAAGCGCTGAATTTGCAGTCTCAACTTTGCGTCACTTTTCAAAGTGACATCATTTTCTCAGTCCCTACCTCATAATTCCTGTCCAATAAGCTGCTCTTTCTGCCTTTTTTACTACCCTAAGTAGCTCTAAAAACCTTGGTAATATCCCATTTTTAGTAACATTACATATATTTCTCCCTACGTCGTCCCCGAAATTGCGTATGTCCATTTGTTGCTATATAAACAAGTGCATTTTGCGGATACAATGTAACAATTCCCGCACCGCTGAGCTAAGATTCGGAAAATACTCGCCACAGCACAGTACCCTTGGCTTTGAACACATCTCGAGAAGTTGGGCTACATTCACCACGGATTCATGAGCAACGTAATTTTTGACCAAAAGCGGGGTGTTGGCGTTTGGGTAAGTTAATTTTTAGTACTGTATAGAAATCCATAGCATTCCATAAGGGAGTGAAGGGATTTAAGACAGTAATATTGATCGATAATTGAACTTTGAAGAAACATTTTGAAACTTTCATTTTTTCCCGCACATATTTTCTAACGGTGTTAATCTGCAGTCTGTAACAGTTGAACAAGATTGGGAGTTTGTCCTGATAAGCCCATATGCTGGGAAGGTTCAAGATAGTACAGAATAGAGATTCACGTTATCAATTATAGGGAAATATTGATCAAATTAAATCATAACTTTGGGGAGCAGACGACTTAGTCACGTGATCACATACGTCACTTTTGAAGTCTAGGATTCATTCGTTAAAACTTGAGCATCTTTGTGGATTATTGTATCCTAGACAGCTTTTAACTTGAACTTGAATATTAATCGTAATTGAAAGAAGTCCTTACGGGCACATTCCATTGAGTTTGCACCTCTGGTGTTTAAAATAACATCCTTAGTCTTTGACGGTTGAAAGTTCACAGCTCTTTCCCATTTATCAAAATCTCGTTCGGGCTTTTAACGCATAGCTGACGTCACTTTTCATGCTATTAGTTCCCGACTGAATTTATAGAGGGCATAAAATTCAACTTTATTACAAGATCGTTGTTGGCAATTCTGTTCTGATTGGAAGTAGTATCCCGGTCATAATTTTGAAGACATTTTATCAGACTGCAGATTTCAGCGTTATTGAGTTTAATTTCATTCTAATAGATTTAAAGACATTAAGCATTTATGTAAATTATAATCTATATAATTTAAATACTATTTATTCGCATTGTACATATATATTTCAGTTGTGACATAAAACGCAAGTATAATAGAATAGACTTTATTGAATGAATATATTTCTTGTGTGATTTACTATTAGTTGGTAGTTGGTGTGGTGATATTTAAAGTACCTAATCCCTTATTCTTTTTAGCTTGCTGTGTTGTATTTGTGTAGGTTTATATTTCACCTTGTAACTTCACCCTTTTACACTAGACCTATCATTCCATCATATTCCCGACACCGATTCATCACTTACCTCATTAGTAATTTCTTATGAAGTACTAGTCCAATCTCTCTTTGTTCTGGCTCACGCTACCTATATTTCTATAATTCACTTCCGGGTTATTGGATGGTATTTTATAGTAGTCAGCTTTTGCCAAGGGGGGTCACTTTTTAAAAAATTCCAGGGGGGCTCACTTTTAACAAATTTGCCCCAAAAATAGCCAAAACCACTTGAAAAGTGCTCAGAATAGTGAAAAACTGCATGAATTTGAAAGAATTTTTGGTCAGGGAGGGAGGGAGATCCCCTGAACCCTTTGGCTAAGGGCCTCTCCTTCGTGTAGCTACTTAATTCACTATATATTTAACTCATTATATTCAAAATAATACTGTGATAAACTGCATGATGGCCTGCCCTGTAGACCTCAGTTTACGCTCATCGCCCAATGCCTTTTTACCAGAAACATATAAATATTATATTATAGAATTTATTAAAGCACGGCCACTGTGTTATCAGGGCATGGGCAGACTACAATTATACAAACTACCGTATGTCTCTGTTTTTACCCAGTAATACCATGGGCTCTATCAGGTGGTAGAGGCCATGGTAATACTTTGAACCCAGAACTTATAAATTGTTATCTCTAAAATATATATGTATATCTCCAAATGCAATGTGGTCATTTGACTGCTTGTAAAAGTTTGACAGACTCACAAAAAGTCAATCGTAGCATACAGCTTGTGATTGAGAAGCCCACGGGGGAAGGCCCGGGGGAGAGTGACTCAACGCAAGTGTCTCAAGAGTTGGAAAAGACTAGTAGTTGGACTTTTAAGTGTTGATATATGTATACAATCAGAGATATAGATGTCAGAAATAGAACAAACGTGGTAAGGGTCGCCTACACAATTTAGTTCAACCAAGTTCTGTTGAACTTGAAAATAATGAAGTTGAAAATATCTCCACAATATTGACATATAAGTAAAATTCCACACCAAACAAGGTTCCAAATTCCTAAATATACTGTAATTCTTCTCAAAGTACACTTACCTCTCCATTGTAATAGCTTGGATTTGTCGTATACTGACGAGTTTTGTACTGTTTACGAGCATTTGTAAAAAGTTATCAAGTTCAGAGGAAGTAAATAGTAAGTGGAGCATGTCATGTGACTCACAAGTCATGTGACTGATCAAAATGGATGACAAACTTTTTAAAAACTTACGAAATCTTCTTGTTTTTTTGGTTTCAATCAGCTCTTTCCAGGCAGGTATGTATATGTTTCTTTTCTTGTCATTTGTAGAATCATTACAGTTACCATTTTAAAGATTCAGTAGCAAGAAGAAGCTTTAGGGACCGGTTGTAAACTGTAATGGGCGCCCCTGAAAATTTACAAAGGGACAAAATATTTTTATAATTCATTTTCAATATTGAAAGCCCATGATGTACTTAATTCAACAAGTAAATAGTCCGGCCATAAGCCAAGGGGAAAGTAGTATTAACTCAATGGATCAGCGTGGTCCCACTCCAGATGACTGGCTACAGGCCTGTAATACTGAGAAACTCTAAACAATCACTGTTTGTTTAGGCTACTTGATTATCTGCTCTCATTGGCTGTACGCTGTGATGTGACGTAAATTAACAGATGAAAAGCATCGAACATTGCTGGAAACTACCAAATCTAGACATTATCTTTCTGGTCTAAAAAATTTGAAACAATTGTCCCGGGAAAACTCTAGTTGATATCATCATGTAACTTAATTCCTGCGAAAGCTATGTGGATTTTGATATATTAGCTTTCCCACGGCGCACTTGGACAGCTATATAATAGTGACCTTTAAAACATGAATAGTGAGATCTGCGGCTTACTTTTGGTCTCTAACTGTGTCTTACACCAGTATCATTAATCCATGTAAGTATTGGAGCGCTGAAATACTTCTTTTTCAAACAGACTTATAAATTGTTCATCCAGTGAATGTTTTTTCGACCCATTTCCAATATGGCAGTTTGCTAGGAGCGAGATACGCAACGAACGAAATGAATTTTGAGAATAAGTTAGGCTCGGACAACCTCCGGAGATTTATGAAAATGTCTGAGCAGAAAACGCCATATTAGAATTTGGCAGAAAAAAACATTCACTCGACTAACAATTACAAGTCTTGATCAAAAAGGAAGTACTTCAGCGCTCCAATACTTGCATGGAAGGATGATAATGATGTATGACATAGTTAGAGAACAAAAGTATGCCCCGGATCAACTTAATTTGTGTTTCAAAGGTCACTATTATTCAGCTGTCCATTTCTCCGTTGGAGAGCCATGAGTTTCAAAGTCTAACATGGCTCTCTAAGTGAGTAACATGTAACCATTCAAACTGAAATATGAAGGGCAACTATTGATCACTCAATACTTGAGAGACAATGAAGGTAAAGGTCAGTATGACGGTCATATTTTTGGGTGGGCATTTTTGGATGTACCATTTTTGGTTTTGTGTTCGATTTTCTCATTATTTCATCGAGCCTATTACCAATTAGGACTGGATCTAGCTTGGGGTCTGTGTGGTTTGGCTAACAAAACTGTGGCCTCTTATATTTTGATGCTTCTCTGACATGTTGTCAATATATTGTGACGTCAAGGCTTGTAGTTAGACAAGGTTGGTGTTTGATATCTTGTGGCTTCCAAATAAGGATTTTGATCACTTTATCAGCACTTAAACTTTAAAGAGCATCTAATCAAGAATGTTTGGATGATAATGTAGTTTGTCAAGTCTATCATAACAATAGAAATTTTTTGGTAATGCCTATTAATAACACTTCAGTAGATGGGGACGGGTGAAGCTATTGTAAGTTAAATGCAGGATCAAAGATAGCAAAAGAGCATGCCATACATGCACACTGTATATGTGCAATTTACCTTCCAATGCTTAATCCTGAGAGCACCCTAATTTTACAGGGTCACAAATTTATTCTTTTAAAACCAATTGAAAGCCCATGCTTACATGTAGAGTACAAAATATATACAATTTTTTCAGCTTCTAGTCAGAATGTATCATCATTGAAATTCCTGGCACTCGGGGATTGGGGTGGACTCCCTGACTTCCCATATAGGACACCAATTGAACTGGGCGTGGCCAGTCAAATGGGCAAAGTAGCAGGCAATCTGAAGACACAGTTCCAAGTCGCACTGGGGGATAATTTTTACTTTGATGGTGTAAAGGACATTAGTGACAAAAGGTTTCAGGTCAGTACATATGTATATAGATTATTAAATTGTTTTTGTTGTAAATTTAATTAAATTGAGCAATTGGGAACACAAAGTAAGATGATTCCGAGAGGAGTATAATCTGTAGACAAAAAAGATTTAATGAATTAAAATATACCTGATTTTTTTGAGGTATTATTGCTCATGAACAGTCAGTCATGGCTTGAAAGTGGTCATACTTAAAAAAAGCTTGCTTCAATGAATTCATTGCTTTGTAACTAAGTTGACAGATGCCCCCAGGGAGTGTTTACTCCGTTAAATTGATTATTTTCATCTTAGTTTTGCAGAATGGTTTAGACTCATATGACGATGGCAGTGGTGGCCCATTTACACCGTTATGTAAAAGACAAACCATTACTGCCATCTTTATATTGGCCTCAAACCTACTGCACAGAACCTCGCTGGTCAACAGCAGGACGATACTGTGGATAACACTAAATTGGATTGTCTACTGTTTTTTCTTGTAACATTACAGTATAATTTTATCTCATTGCATTGGAGTGTCTTATAACTTATTACAGTGCCTTATAATTATTATACATTACAGTGACTTTTACATTTCTGATTACAGTGTCCAACTTGTTACGTTTCAGGATATTTCTGATAACAGTGTCTAACTTGTAACATTCGGTTGTTTCCGAACTTGTTACATTTCAGTGTCCGTTTACTTGTAGCATTATTGTAGCATAACATGTGATATAATGGTTTTTATAGGATACATATGTGGATAATATAATCCAATGATTGTATAAAGTATGTGTGTCCTTTTTCTCAGGAGACCTTTGAAAACACATTTACAGCTGGGTCACTACAGAATTCCTGGTACTTTGTGGCAGGCAATCATGACCACAATGGAAATGTGTCAGCACAGATTGCTTACACTCAGCATTCCAAACGATGGTAATTATAATTTTAATCCTCCTTTATTGGAAAAATCATAGAAAACCTAACAGAATATTTCAATGATATACATGTACCATAGATGGCATCATTGTTTAGGAAAAATGAAGTATTGAGTAAAGATATGGACAGGAACAGTATATATGAAAGAAATTTTTCATGTATAGATGTCTCATGCTTATGTGATATATGTCATTGCCATATATTAGGGGTAGGTCGGGGGGGACCTTGGGCTCTTTTAGTTTAGTGTATACCTTTCTCTAATACTTTCAGGATGTTTCCGAACCTCTATTATTCTTTCAACTACACCATACCTGGTACTAAGAGTCTAGTCAGCTTCATCATGATTGACACTGTCACACTCTGTGGGAACACAGACCATGACTTCAGTGGGGAACCACCCAAAGGTCCTGAAGACGTAGCTGCAGCTGAGAAGCAATGGGCTTGGATTGAAAGTCAGCTAATCAATAGCTATAAGTATGTCACATCATTTTCCATGATATGAAATATAGGGACAAAAAATTCTGATTTTTTATATTCTTGATTTAATTAATAAAAAATGAACATTTTATGTAACGAAATTGCAATTTACTTCCTCCCTGAACAAGTAAAGTAATTTAGCTTTTCCCCAATTGTCAATATTTGAATAATTCTTCCCTTATTGGTGAATGACATTTTGGTGAAATTCACTACACACAAGTAAGTTGTCCTTTATTTAGAGCAGGTCCACATGACAAATAAAGAACATATGGCCAGATAAGCATTTCCTTACAAGTATGGCAGCCTTATCAGATAACCGCCTCACTTACCAATTAATATGATTAATACAGTTCCTAGAAATTCGGCTTAACTTGTACAAAGTACAAAGTTCGATTTAGTTTCCCTCTGGGAAAATATTCAATTTCATGGTTCTCAATTGTTTGTAAAAATGATCTGTTTTTTTTAGTTTTTTTTGCCTGACAACAGTGAATCAAAAGTATTGGGAACTTCTTGTGAATATATTATCTTATACTAATTGAGACCAGAGACTACAAAAAAGTTGATTTTTACAGGGACAATAGGATGGTTTTTCATCTGAACCAAGTTCAGTCAATCAAGTTGAATATATTCTATCACCTAACATTTAGATCCCTCAAAAACTAAGTGACTGAAAAATTTATAAACTTTTCCCTGTCCTTTGATAAAAAATCATTAGCGTTCACTTGCATTCAGTTATTTTAATATTCCAGAGCTGACTATGTGATAGTAGGGGGCCACTTTCCAGTATACTCAGTAGCAGAGCATGGTCCCACAGAGCAGCTTTTACAGAGACTTCAGCCCATGCTTCACAAGTACAAGGTGACAGCCTATATAAGTGGTCACGACCATAACCTACAGGTAGGCTTCTTTGTTATTTGCCCAATTTGGAGTACTGTAAGCTACAAGTATATCATTCTATGAACATTTTGGTATAATATATTTTTAAAAATAGGGAGTTGTTATGAGAACTTTATGGTCACCCCTTGTATATGTACATCTCATTTTTTCCTCACTGTGAATTCCCCATCCCAAGGCAGTGATTCTTCCTTTGAAACCCATCTCACATGAAAGAACTAGGCGGAGCTATTAGATTTTATTACTTGACAACCTAGATATTCAGGTCAGGTTGACTTCAAATGAGTCTAGTCTGAAGTCAACATCTTTGTAAACTGAAACAAGGAAACATACATTGTGTTTCATATGTATGTACCCCCTCTAAAATCATAGATGTAGCATTGCCATCGTGCAATATATCAGTTTGTTCATCATAGAAAGTTACATAAGATTGCAAAGTTTCAGAATCCAGGGGTGTCCTTGAATAAAGTGTGTGGGTACAGCATTGGCGTCAGAAGGGGGAGGGTGTTGGGGGGACCGCCCCCCCTTTTCCCAGATCTTTTTAGATTTGAATCCGAGCCTAGAATTGAAAGCTCTGGAGCTAATTAAGTCAAAGTGTAATAATGACAGAAATGATACTGTGTCATAATCTAGTCTACATCAAGCATAGAAGATCTCATTTCACATATTATATTTATTTCTATACTATAGTTTCTCAGGAACCCATACAGTATGTAAATAGGCTACTTTGAAGAATAAGTGCAAAATGTATAGTATAGTAAAAATCAAATTTTTTTAGTCAAAGTCAAGCTAGTTTTCGAAACACGATTTTTTCTTATTTTATTATTGGGAATATTGTGTTGAGATATGTTCAGAATGCACCAGAGAGGGTCTAAATTTGAAAATTTTCTGGGGCATGGAACCCCGATCCACGCTTCATGCACAACCTATCCAAAAGTCGCCTCTTCAACCCTCGGTACAGGGTCATTTAGGGGAATTTCTGGTCATTTTGAAGCCAATTTAATGGACAAATCCTGGCTACGCCACTGCACTGTAGCTTTTTTTGGTACTGTATGGTACCCTAGATTCAAAAACCCCTTTCATTATCTTGCAGCATCTACAGTACACAAGTGCAGGCTCACTTGTTGAGTACTTTGTGATAGGCTCAGCCAACTTTGTGGACCCCTCCCTGGCACATAAGACTGCTGTACCCGAAAACAGCTTGAAATTCCATTGGGCGGATATTTTGTCACTCGGGGGATTTGCCTACATTGAAGCAACCCCAAGCAATATGACACTGACATTCATTGAGGCTAATGCCAAAGGACTGTACCAGCATACAATGCTTCCTAGAAAACTTTAGAGTGTCTGTACTCTTGTATGTGTACGACCACAGATGATGCCTATCTACATGGCATCACTCAGATATTTTGAGCTTTACAACACACAGATTATAGCTTTAAAACACTCTGATTCTGACAAATAAGATTGGCTTCTTAATGATCTCTATGATATTGACAGTGCATGAAACTTTCACTTTAAAGGCCTTAAATTTTTTTTCACTTGAAGACCAAATACCAAATAGCACTAACTGCCACATATCATTTCATTCAGTCAAACCAAGGGCTTTCAACTAGAGTTAGTTGAAAGCCCATGGTCAAACTGAGTGAGTAATACATGTATAAAACAATGTTCATCATGTTTTGTAAAAGTGTTCAGAATCATACATGCTCAAGTGCCTTGTTTGAATAATACCAACCCACATGGACAACTCATATAACAAGGACAACAACTAGGCTTGTGTGAGTAATAATGATTTTTCAATGTTTTATTAAAATGATGAAGTAAATGTTTTTTGATTGGGTGTAGATTTTTTTAATACAAAAGAAAAGTAAGACGTGTGGGTTTATCAGTTTATGAATAGCTGATGTTCAAATGATGGTTAAAGGTCCCAGGGAACTAAAAGTTCAATGGCCTTCAATGTAAGTCAGGCTGCCCTTCTATGGTTTCTATTCTATTAAGGTTATTTTGTATGATTACAAGCTTTAATGGCTTCTTAATAGTATAGTTTCCATATAGCTTTTGAAATCTCGCTAAACCTCGTTTTTCGTGAGATTTTAAGAGATTTGCATATTAAACCTCTAATGACTTCCATTACCTTCTTTTAAATGGCATATTTGAATTTAGTGAAATGTTTTCTCGTATAATAGCTTTGATTTACACAGTTATATAATTTGAATAATTTTCTATGACAATTTTTAAAACCTTGGATTATTTGTATGTCAACCAACATTTGCATGTTTAATCACAATATGTACATAAACAGGGTCATCATGTGGTATATCATTCAAGTTTTATACAGATTCAACTAACACTCTTTGATAAATCATGAAATTAAGCCACTTTTCCAATAATTCAGCATGTTAGTGAATGGAACTCTAGCCCAAATTAAAAGCTGAATAAAAGATGGCAGCACTAGATTTCATTGTTTTTTCTGCTATTTAGAAACTATCCTATTGGTGTCCCATGTTATTTTCAGGAATACTAAACTCATCATACTTGTTCTTTGCTCAGGTTGTTTACCATATCTTATCTGTGCCAAATCTTTTATGTTGTCTTAAATTTGTGTTGACAAAATCTGAATAAACACAAACCCACTTCTACACTTATATACCTTTATCTCAGCCAATTTTTGTTGTTTGTTTGGTAATTTATTGCGCAAAGAGTATTACTGTATTTTTGAAAATAGGCAGACAACTCTTCTTACTTGTATTTCAGAGGAACCAGGAAGCCAATCCCACTGATTCTATGACGTCAAATAACACATATATCAAAATATGAATCACATGATTGGTGCCCTAGGCCTAATATACTGTTTTGACATTTTTTTCCTATTCTGACTTTTATTCAATGTTTGATTTTTATTTTATATGAAAGCTGACTTCCAGTATTTTTATTATGCAGTGATATTAAATAAAAATGGAAACATGTCATAGGCGTAGCGCCCAGTATGCTGGGTACACACAGGCGTACCAGATGGTTGCAAATTCGCTCCAAATACAACCAAATTTCCAAATTTTCTTCGTTTTTGCTTCACTCAACTCTTGTTCCCGTGCTGGAGTACTACTTAGAAATATAGCGCTACGTCCATGCATGTGATATTGAAATGGATATGGGCAATAATGAAAATATGGACTTGTATAGATGGCAAATTGCTGGTGGAGGGCTGCTCTGCACTTCCTCTGTCCATAAGTTTCTTTGAAGATATTGTGAATCAAATTCAAAATATGAAGTAGATTTTGATATATTGTCCATGAACAGGAAGTCTGTGAAACAAATTTTATATGTTAATGTATATAACTGAAACCACTGTATTTTATTCCATTTGTTGAAAGTCCTCAAGGTCATCAAGCGTGTTTATATAACACTGAAGAGAAAATCAGTATTAAAAGTGTAGTGGGGTGTGGCATGGATTGTAACATATTCAATATTCCTTATTTTAAGACAATGTATAATATTCCATAATTTGATATCTTTTTCTTTCTCAATATTCTGTAACTTTTTGATCGCTCGTTATGTTAAGTCTCCAACTTTTTTGTGGATGGGGTTCGGCATCTGTAACAAATGGCAGGTAGTGCCTTGTTTCATATTTTTATCCCTTATATTCCATACTATGCCACACCCCATTACAATATGTATTTATAATCACTTTCACCATATACACATCCGTAAAATGGGCAAAATGTGTATAGGGAATTGCCATTGTATACTGGTGATATTTTCAATAGATCTCATACTTAAGAACTGTAGTTAAAAAAATTCATGAAAGGCTTACCACATTTTACCAAGCTGTGAGCTTATTCATTCAGCAATTTATTTGTAAACTTTCTTCAGAAATGTTTTTGTTGAATTTTCTTGCAAAAAATCATACATTCCCTTCTACACATTTTGTTCATTATAGGCATGATATATAAATTAATCAGATTGGTTAAGAGTAATTACATGATGATATTATGTTACACCACTGAATTACAGATATTATTACTAAGATATTATATGTTTATGTTATCAGCTGCCCCTGGGATTCACTGTATATAAAGCCTATTGAGTATCCTTGGGTCAGCTCACTTTTTATATGGCTTGATGTATCAGTAACCTCATTTCAAAGGGCAGCAGAGGGAAATCTTGGCCCAAGGGCAGAAGGGCTGAAATGAGGTTGTTATTAGTATTATTATCAGCTCTATTGATAACTAAGTGCAAACTTGTTATTCATCCTGGACCAGGGTTGGTAATGATCAAGTCATATAAGCCTTCTAAACTAGTACTACCCTGGGAACAGACTTGATCAAAAGGATTCCCAGTCTAGCTTTACAAACTCTGAATCCCTCAGTTTATGTATCGTTATAACTTGTTTATTAATTGAGTAAATATGAATTATTATGAATAACGGGGCAAGGCCACATACATGCATTTTATATGAGACAATGTACTTAAAAATGAAGTCATGAAATAAATATGCAAGCACAAGTGCCATTAAGTGTTAATAAGTGTGTATTTTCAGTGCAGGTGTTGTAATATATTTTGAGATAACAATTTAAAAAAACTGAGTCAGATAACAATAGTTCTCTGAATTGATAGGAATTACTCTATTTCTGTTATGTTCTTCAACTGGGCAAAATTCAGGAAGTCCTTATATTTTTTTTTACTAGTACTACATGAATCTTCTATTTAATACACTACTGCAAATTGCACTTATATCATGTTTCAGGAAGAAATGTGAAGTGGACATTAGATTTGAACTGGAATTTAGAGGAATGAAACTGTTTTTGTTTTGAATTAGATCGAAAAATACTAATAGTTCCTCATAACTATTCCCTATTCAAACCAATGAATACTTAAAGGAGTGTAAAAGTCGATGCATTTAATTTTTGAATGAATGAATGCTGACTTGGCAGTGTCACACAGTTCTTGGAAGTCACTTCTGGGAATTCAAAATTGGGAAAATAAAATAGAAGTGTTGTAGGTTTATGTTTTAGTTGGGCCAAAATAAAGACAAGGTACAAGGTATGTTTTATTTTTATTTCAAAAATATTACTAAAATGTTTAGATAAGGCATATGTGCATATCTATCACACCTCTCATTTAGTGATAGTTCAGTTAAGATAGTGTAAATACTGAAGGCAAACATAAACAAACTTCCACATATACAATATATTATTTTGTTCATTATAATCATTGTATTTTATTCAATAAGACTGTATTTTTTTAGACTGTTTGGTGGAGGTACATGTATATTAACCATGACCATCTCTTGGATTATGTTATTTGGGTTGTGTTTGGTCATACCTGCTAAACCTGTACGAGGATTCTTTATAGCAACTCCTGGTGGTAAGTACATTTTTATCTAGTTCTTATATTTATGAATTTCTTACATCAATTTGCTTGTACATCATGGAGTCTCCCACTTATCTTTTAATGTCTCATTTAAAGTTATCTATTTGCAATATACAGGGTATACAGTATACGCTCATTGTATATCCATAATAAATGTCTCTTTTAAAATATCCATAGAGTGGCTCAATACAGTCCCAATAAACAGATATGGCTCAATATTATAAGTTATTGAATGATTTGAAGTGCAATACAGGATATATTCTGCTTGAGAAATCTGTATTGGAACAAGACGAAGTCGAGTGCCAATACAGAATATCGAGAGCAGAATATCCTGTATTGCACTTCAAATCATTCTAAAACATTTTTATCATTTGATCCTCTGTATTGCTACTGAGAATGTCCCCTCCGTACCAATATTTTCTGTATTGCGACGGAGATGATCAATGGGGACAATTTCAGTAGCAATACAGATTGGTACAGCACAAGAACTGACCAATCAGAAGGCTTCATTGTACAGATCGTACGATAATTGTTCATAGTAGGCTCACTTAGTTTCAAAACAAAATGACTGTCAAGTATTAATAATTAATACTGTACTAATAAAGAAAGCCATATATGGGTACAGGTCAAGTGTATTTGATAATGGCCACCACTTGTTAAATATAACGTCAAAATGGTATTTTCGTAATCGAAATAAACATTCACCAATTGACTAAACCTCTTTACACTCAAACTAAAACCATATTTGACTTACATGTAGTTAATGATAATCAAAAATATAATATATTGGGTTAAAAAAAGAAGTAGTATTTCTCCCATCTCTATAGTTAATCATGGTATGTATACATGTATGTACCATAAATATTAATTTTGAAAGAATTCAATATTTTTACTTGGTCCCCAAAAAATCTTAAAACAAAATATTTTTGATGTTCTTCTCCTTAAATATTTTTGCTTGAAAATAATCAGAAAAAATTCATATTTGTGTGACATATTCTGTCATATGTATTCCATTTTTCTTTTGAATTTTCCGAGGTATATTTACATTTCATCCATATTATACTGATATGTTACAGCAATTTTGGAATTTTTAAAAGTACGCACTGGGTAGATCCTCAATGTGTCATTGTTACCCACTGTGATCATGGTGATAACTCTAATATCAGATTTTGTTCCTTTTTAATGAAATACATGTACATGTATGGTAAATTGCTTATGCCCCATGGGTTAGAAGTCTAACATGCAACCATGAATCATTTTTGATTTCAGAAATGAGCCCAGTGAATCCTCGAGTTGAGCTTAGAAATTATATTGAACTAAACTGTACATTGACAGGGGATGTTGCCCCCTTCAACTCAAGCCACCTCTATTTCCAAGCTGGCTCCAAAGTAATCTCATCAAAATTCTACAAAATCCTGTCTCCAACTATAATGACATACAAAGAGAATATGACAGGACAATACGCTGGGAGGTACCCATTTTATTGTTACCTGAACCAAACCATGAGTGGGGAAAAAATGAAACCAAGACTGATTGGATCACAGGTGGCTACAATAGGAAGTATGACAATTTTGTTCTAATTCTTAGATGAAATGAGATTATTCATAGATTCTTTCTTTTAATTTTCTGTTGACCTTGACCTTTTAATGTTACTTTGACATCATATAACCACTATTCCATTGATTTTTTTGAATGACTCCATTTAAACCCCTTGTTATTATGTATACCCTTAGTGTCTGGCGTTGTATATTTGACAGCATAACTACAGTAGATGTAAATAAAGCTCTCTTCAAAGAAGCCAAATTTTTGTCTGCCTGTAATGTTTACATTGACATTTAAATGAGACTGAGGCCCATTGAACATGTTGAAGTCTCAAAGGAATTCCTGTGAACAAATTTTTGAACATCACATGCTTTGCTTTTGCAGGAAAGCCAGAGAAATCAAGAAATTTAACTGCGAGGTTCAATTACTGGAACTCTGGAGATATCTATTGGGAACCTGTACAAAAGAATACTACTTTAGTACATACATCAACTAATGTAGCTTACAGTTGGATGTAAGTTTATTTCAATATTAAAGTCTCTTACCTTTAGTTCAAGCAACACTCACAAGTCATAAATTATAACGGAGAACATTACCATATGTTAGTTAATATGTCATTCATCTTTTCATAATCCACAATTACATCACATGCATTATCTGCATATAAAGGTACACTAATACGTATAAAATTAATTTACAGATATTAACAAAACAGAGATGTCATTTCAGAAGGACATTTCAGAATAGTATAATGACTTTATGATAAATGTTGCTATTTGTTTCAGTTATGGGTCGAGAATATTTAACTGCCAAGTAAGCAGCAATGTAGCTAGTGATGTATCTAGAGATGTGACCAGTGCGTCCTGTACTTGTACTAAGAACCACTGTCATTTCTCAAGGATAATAGCATCACAACGATATTTGTATTTGTTCATTGAGAACTCCAATATATTTGGTACTGAGAAGTCATTTCACAAAATTGATGTTGATAATAACGGTGAGTATTACATATCTGCTCTTACAGTCTTACAGTATGTTTTCTGAGGAGACAAAAAAGTTGATGTTATAAAAATGAACTGTTCAGAAAACAAGGAAAGAAGAAAAATAACAATAAAACAAACAACAAGTAAAAGAAAAGAACGTGAATTTGTGATCAATCTATGAAATTGGCTTTTTGATTTGGAGGGATTTGTTTTGCTTGTGTTGCCATCTTTATTTAATCGTTGGAGTATTGTATGTCGAGTTGTTGACCAACATGTTGAAATTCCTGTCATTCTTATTATCATGAGTACTAGAAGGAATTTAAAGAGAGAGGTTTCTGTTTTGAGACTTGTGAAAAATGTTAATGCACTTTTCGTATTCATATTAATACATATCATCACGGACTTTAAGGTCCTCCAGGTCCGTGATATCATGTAGAAAAATGCAGATTTTTAGTTATAGTTATAGTTATAGTTTTCACTGCTTAGGTCGTCTTGACCTTTGGCCGTTCTTTAGATAAAATGAGCATAATTGTTTAGCATTGACCCCAATTAATTGACTTGTGTCTACTTCAAGGCTCTATAGTTGTATTTGGCTGGGTGGTCGCTCCATAGTCTGTCAAGCTTACTCTTAAAGTGATTCAGGTCATCAGCTTCCACTACTTCTTGGGGGAGGGAATTCCAAGAGTTTACTACCCTTTGGGTAAAGAATCCTTGTCTTAAAATCAATCTGTTTTGTTTTTTCAAGATTCTCTTATTGTTGCCTCTGGTCCTTCCTATGTTATGTGATAGAGGTAGAATATTGCTAATTGGAATGTCATATTTTTCATTGAGGATTTTCCAAGTTTCAAGCATATCCCCTCTTAAGCGCCTGAACACAAGTGATGGTAACTTTAGGTCCATAAGTCTTTGGGAGTACTCTTTATCTTGGAATCCTGGTATGCATCTCGTAGCTCTCCTCTGGACTGCTTCAATAGCTTCAATATCCTGTATTAAGTATGGTGACCATACAGTGTTTGCATATTCCAAGTGTGGCCTGACCATAGCCTTATATAACATCATCATATTTGAAGGATCCAAAAACTGGAAAGTTCTTCGGATAAGACCAAGAATTTGGTTGGCCTTTTTTACCACCATCAGTATGTGTGTTTTGTTCTTTAAGTCATTCGCCACCATCATTCCCAAGTCTTTTTCACATTCTGATTCCTGGAGAACTGTATTACCCATAGTGTAACTGTAGTCTGGAGAAGATTTACCAATTCTTAGGACCTTGCATTTTTCACTGTTAAATTGAAGTTGCCAATCATTTGTCCAATTCATTAGGGATTGGATGTCTTCCTGTAGCTCGTCACAGTCATCCGTGGTGTTCACTTCCCGGTACAGTTTTGTATCGTCTGCAAACATTATCAGAGGGCTGTTAACAGTCTGGGGTATGTCATTTACAAATACGAGAAACATTACCGGTCCTAAAACGGTTCCCTGCGGGATTCCAGAAGTGACATCTTTCCATGACGATGCTTCTCCATTGATTATTACTCGTTGTTTCCTTAATTGTGAATTTCCACTCTCAGCATTGTCTGTTGAGGCTCGATTCGCGGGGTCGAATTGGTCATTTCCTGTATTTGCTCCGAGGAAGGATTTCAACCACTGGAGGGCATTACCCATAATTCCAAGATTTTCAATTTTCTTTATAAGACGCTCGTGGGGGACTTTGTCAAATGCTTTCTTAAAGTCTAGGTAAATTGCGTCTATATTGCTACCACTATCGAGAACTTCAGTCCATTTTTCAAGAGTCGTCAAGAGATTGGTTACACATGATCGACACGGTAGGAAGCCATGCTGGCATTGCGTCAAAAGGTTGTTTTCTGATAAGTGTGACAGGATCCTTTCTCTAATAATGGATTCGAGTATCTTACATACTATGGACGTTAAACTTACTGGCCTGTAGTTGGTAGATAGGTTTTTCTTCCCTTTTTTAAATATCGGTGAAATATTAGCTTGTTTCCAATCTTGAGGCAGCGTTCCAGAGTTTGTTGACATCTTGAATAGGAGGTATAGAGGTCTGCATATGGTACACCTGAGTTCCTTTAATATGCGGGGTTTTATCTTGTCTGGCCCGGGTGACTTGTTTGTTCTTAGAAGCTCCAGCTTTTTCATTACTTCATCTTCTGTGAAAGTCCAGGCCTCGATGTAACTTGTTATTCTGATATAGTGACCTGTTGGTATGTTATCCTTGTTCTCCTTGGTAAAGACGCTAGAGAAGAATCTATTCAGCTCTTCTGCTTTATCTAAGTCACTAGTTGTTGTTGTGCCATCCTCTCTGTTGAGCTGGGGTATTCCACTCCTTGTTTTCATTTTGCTGTTGCTGTACCCCCAAAATTTCCTTGGTTGGGATTTTGCTGATTTTGCAATATTCCTTTCAAATTCCTTGATAGCTCTAGTTACCTCATTTTTAGCCTGGTTTCTCTCCTTAACGTATTGCTGGTATTCCTCTCCCTTCTTCGTTCTTTGGTACCTCTTCCATGCACCATGTTTTCGTTTGATTTGTGCTAAACATCTCTTATCCATCCATGCTTTTGCTGTTTTTCTAGCCTTGACTTGTGGGACATTTTTACTATAACTTTCGTCCATTCTTCTTTTGAACATGTCCCAGCATTCATCAATATCCTTGTCTTTAAATTCACTGTCCCAGTCGATGCTCAGTTCTTCCTTCATCTTTTCATAATTGGCCTGGTTCAGTAGGGGGATTAATCGTTCTTGTACTGTAAACTCAGCCTGGTAATGAAGGACAAAACTTATTACTTGATGATCACTTTTCCCTATTCCTGCCTGTATCTCCAGATCTGAAACCATGTCCATTTCATTTGACAGTACTAGATCAAGGATATTATCACCCCGCGTTGGCTCACTTACATGCTGGTAGAGGAAGGTATCATCTACAAGTTCAGTGAATACATCAGCAATTCTTCTGTCAGGGCATCCTGGAGTTGTACAATTTAGTTCCCAGTTTATTCCTGGAAGATTGAAGTCCCCCATAATAAGTAAATGCGTTGGTTTTTTGTCACAATTGTTTTTTATCTGGTCAAATAGGGCTTCTGAGTTTGTTTCCTCGCTTGTTGGGCTTCTATATATACAGCCAATTATTGCATTGTCCTTTCCACAACTCATATTCAGCCATACTGATTCCTTGACGTTATGGTCTGTTTCAAGTTGATGACATTTTAAGTTCTCCTTAACATAAACTATCACACCTCTAGTATTTTCTTGCAGGTTGTTAGTGAAGGGGGTATACCCTTGGAGAGAAATTTGTGCTTCAGATAATTCATAGTCTTTTCTTTTAACATTAACTTCAACAACTCCGATTACATCTGGCTTCATATTATGGACTAACAATTCGAGTTCATCTTTTTTATTCGGAAGACTGTCAATGTTTGTATATATCACTTTCAGTTTATTTACACTATTTACAATATTTACATTACTGTTTTGTCTAGGGGTTACTCGTCCTCGTCCCCCGAATCACCCTCCTGCGTTACAATCAAAAGAGGCGGCTGTTTTGGCAGTTTGTTGATTTCTGGTGCTGGGGTAGGCTGTTCATTAATTGTCGTTTCCTGTCCTCCGCTCTTCTTAGCTTCATTAGATGAAGTATTTCCACGGGGCCTGGCTTGTGCAGTTGTGTTCCTGGGGATTATAACTCCCTTCTTTATGATATAGTCTTTTCCATTATTAGGTAGACTTCTCAGTTCCTCAAGCAGTCGACGTGAATCATCTCTTTCAAGGGGTGTCATATCAGGCTTAATGTATATGTCTCTGTAGTTGTCCCCTTTATTCCTCAACGATTTGGCATTACGTAGGATTTCATACTTATCCCTTGTTTCTTTAGTGACTACTAGCAGTGGTCGAGTTTTGTTCGGGGCTGGTTTTCCTAGACGGAATGATTTCTCAAGCTCGACTTCTAATTCAAGTCCATCCGCGATAAGGTCATCTGCTTTCTTTGTATCATCCAACAATCTTTGACGTGGTGTGCTGGCTTTACTTTCTGGAATATTAAATATGACTAGATTGTTTTTGCGTTTTTCCCTTTCAGCATATTCACGCAGTGATGCTGTTACATTTGTATTGGCTGGCTGAGGGGGCACATGTTCTGATTCAGTATTACTTTGAGTGGAATTGCTTTTCTCGGAATTGTTTTGGGGTGATACCTTATCCTGCTTCCCCTGTATGTCGGCTAATTTTGTTGTTATTTCTCCGAGAACTGTTGATATTTGCTGTAATTGTGTCTCAACAAGGGGATCAGTTAAATTTGAGTCATTTGTTTTTGGTCTTGCCGATCTTGATGCTTGAACTGACTGATCTACAATGGGACTACATTGTTTACAGTACCAATGAATATTTTTGTGCTTTTGAAGAATTCCAATCAGATTTAGGGACAGGTCTTGGCATGTGATACAAGCCCATTTCAAACAACGCTCACACTGGATTTCTGCGGGTGGTTTTTTACAGAATTCACATGGATAGTCAATAATTACCTTGCCAACTCCCTCTCCGTCACCTTTGTCTTTCCTCTTGGTGTCTTTTTTTACCTTTACCTTGTTGTTTTTTGCAGCTTTCGTCGACGAACGTGTATTTTTTCTTTCACCGGAAGTGGACTCATTTTCTGCAGGTACCTTTTCGGCAATATTTTGCGACATTTCATTTTCAATCTCTGAATCCGATCCCTTTTCACTATCTTTTGCGATTCCAAGATCACTAAGAACAATATTCCCTAGAAGATTTACACTTGAATGTCTTACTCTTGGAGAATCTTTTGAAGCCATATCCGATGTCGTAATTTGGCGGGGTTTTCTTTTGTTCAAAATTTCTACACTTCCGAGGCCAGATTCAGGTTAGTACGGTCCTTTGTCGTTATTTTTCTGCTCTAGTCAAGTTGTCTATCGGTTCTTCTTTCCTCCGTTGTCTTTTAATTGGGGGTGCTATGTCATTTTAGCTCTAAAACTCAATTTTACGAGGAGAAAATTTTTGGATTGACATTTTGTTTGATCACGTGACAATGCTTGATCATGTGTCGATGCTTTTTCCAGTTGTACCATCTCCGGTTAAAAGTGTTTTGCCCATTGTGAATGGCAGTGATGCAGTAAACGTAACATGGGTGCCTTCAGTAGAAGACGATCCAGTTCAACTACTTCATTCTGTATACCGAGTGCTCTACAGAAGAATCTATAGTGCTGAACCATGGCAGGTAACTATGATATTAAAATCAAAATGATAATAAAAATACCATTTAACTGATTAGTAAATATTCTATAAAGCCATCTTTCTTGTTTTTTTCTTGTTTTTCTCTTATATTAGTTTGATTCTTGCAGTAATAGTATCACTGCAACAGAGTAAAAAAACTGGAAGAATCTGGTAAAAACTCAATATGGCTTGCATTTTTATTCTGACATACATGTATTATTAAATTTTAATTAGACTCAAGATGATAATCTGGAGTCTATTGTATTTACCTGGCGGGTGGCGTCTCACTTTTCAGCTTGTCTACAGGTTTCCAGCCAAACCATTTGACAGATTCATCTGAAATTTTCAGGAATGTTTCTACGTATCAAAGTTAAGAACTGATCAGTTTTTGGGCATTCTGGGTAAATTTTAAGGTGCCCATTTTGGATTTTCCGTCCTAAAATCTTCACTTTCAAGACTTGTCTACAGGTTTCCAATCAAACCATTTGACGGATCCATCTTAAATTTTTAGAGATGTTTCTACGTATAAAAATTAAGAACTGATTAGTTTTTTGGCATTCTGGGTAAATTTTAAGGTGGCCATTTTGGATTTTCCGTCCTAAAATCTTCACTTTCAAGACTTGTCTACAGGTTTCCAGCCAAACCATTTGACGGATTCATTCGAAATTTACAGGGATGTTTCTACGTATCAAAGTTAACAACTGATTAGTTTTTGGGCATTCTGGGTTAATTTTAAGGTGGCCATTTTGGATTTTCCGTCCCAAATTCTTCACTGTCACACTGCTGTGTTTTAGGTACGATATTGTTCACGTCTGTGCCTTGTTTTAAAAATGTGGCCAAGGAAAAGACAATTAGACAGTGTGCCATCTCTTTCTTGATTACTCTTACCGTTTTTTAGATATTTGACCTCAAAAACTTGCTTCAATTTGACCGCATTTTTTAAAATCATCTACAAAATCTCGGGATTCCAAATCTGAAATCAGAATTGAAATCTGACTGCAGTTAAGATTCTACGCCATTTTGAAAATTTCGAAACAAATTGACTTGATGGTATCCACATCTATTTATCTAGCTATAAGCTAAAAACAAATCTGATATCTGGAGTCTGAAATTGAACAAATTTCTAGTTAAATTAATGATAAGTTCTTTGTGTAAATGGTTGGTATCTACATCTGCTTCACTTTTGTTAAGATTTGCATGTCTTTTATTAATTCCTTCTTCAAAATATTAACCCAAGTATTGAAACTTAATCAGTATGCGGTTTAGCCATTTTACAGTATTTAGGTCAGAATTATCAAAATAAAATAATATACATTGTAAAGAAGATAATAGAAGGTCAACTTATTGTGTTCCTTCAATGTCAACAACTGACACAGTTGGAGCGTTTTTTTTCAGGCAGAAATGAAATATTTATTTATTATTCATAGAATGCAGGTGAGACAGTTGGGGAGTGGCTATTGGTAAAAGGTCTGCAACCCTATCAAGGCTACACGTTTAATGTGTCTGTAAGGGTCAACTATCGAAACAGTTCGGATCGCAATGCTTGGAGTGAAAGCAAACAAGGAGTTGCCATAACTGATAAAGATTGTAAGTGTGAATATAACACTATTGGTGGAGATGATTGATGTCTTTGAAGGAAAAAATTATTTATGATCAATATTTACACTTAATGTGCGGGAGAATGGTTTGATAGAGGAATCAACCAATTTATACAAAATGATTAACATTTAATATTGAACATTATATTCATGTGAATCTTAAAACCTATATCATAATTGTATAGTATATGTAGTGATTGCATAGCATACATAATTATATAACTTATGTCGTAATTGTATTAGTCTGTATATAGTCTATGCATGGTCTTTTAAGAGAGGTGATTGTATAGCATGTTTAACATATGTTTTAACATATGTGCTGCCAAACGTTTTATCTTCAGGTGGGCATTGGTCATTTCTATATACAGTAAACTGTACATGTAAGATTCAAGTCTCCCTTTTTGTTGCAGCATCTGGCTGTCCACCTTGTTTGCCTTGTGTGAATGGATGTAGACATTCTCCAAATGACCATGACATAGGATCTGGAGTATCTGAAGGGAGCTCAGACAAAGGATTAGAAAAAGGATGTTGCACAGACTGGAAGGTACAATATTGGAAACTTCCCCATAGAGAACATTATAGATTATCCTACGCTAAGTGTACTTAATGTATAATAACATTAAAAAATAAATGACAATTGGCAAATTAAATAACTGGAGGATATTGCCATGATATACTCAGGAAAACCATTATGTCAAGGAAATGGGGGTGATATACTCCACTTGATTTTATACATTAAGTACATTAAGTGTAGGATGATAAGAACATCCTATGGTTTTTTCAGAATAACATTTTAGTCTACTTGGTGATATTCAGTGGCGTAGCCAGGATTTGGTGACCGGGGGTTCTATTTTTATGTTATTCACAAATCCCCCCCCCTTCATTAGGGTTTCTAAAATAATGCAATCTGTACAATTACACTCCCTCCAAAAGTTTGGCAAGCCTAACTAACCCATTGGATTATGTATTAAAGCATCTTTAAGTTTGAATTCTTATTTGCATAATTTGTAAAGAAAAAACTATTTTGGGAGGGGAAATATAATTCATCTCAATACCTTCATTAAAGGCAGAATCTGATATATAGGGGGTGACAAAATAACAAGCAACGCGTATAATTGACCTACCAATCTATTCCTTACAATATCAAATACAATATCTCCCAAAAGATTCACAACATGTTATAAATTGGTGAAGTTATTAATGATTCAAAGTGCAAAAATGAGTGAAAATGTTTAAATTCTCCCAAATAATGAGAATGTTTACATTTTTGTAAAAATCTTTAGTTTTCCTGGAATAAAGTATGCACTGTTGTGATTTTTAGAAAATAGACATGACAAGGAATGACATGAGAAAAGTCTGAAAGTAATAGGCTTTATTAAGAAACCTCTCCCACTGAAATAACACAGGACGTAAAAATGATTTTCAAAAATGACCTTGTAAAATAAACAGGCAACGCGCAAAAAAGTCAGACAACTTATAATTAACTTTCTGCATCAAAATATATTCCGGTGAATCTTTTACTGAATACATATCCTGAAATCTGATTTGCCCCGAATCCACCATTATTTCGACTGATTTCTGGAAGACCCTGGAGCATGATTTGTTTCCAAAGAATATCAACTATATCGCACAATTTATTCTTTAACTTAAGCTACTTCATCTAGGACAAAATAAATCACTTCATGCAATGACTTATCATTATTTTTCGGGAATTTTCTTGGAAGCCAGTTCGGATCAAATGCAAGGTTATTGAAATTGACGCAAACACCCTATACTCCGAAAGATCGTTCTTCTATGATAACTTTTCACAACATTTACACGAAGGCTTTATAAACTATCCGGGATAGTCGTATTACTGATGAAAATATCTATTATTCAAATAAGTGGGTCTCGGTTATGCTTTGTTTTAAAAAGTTAAAGATATTTCTTTGGACGTCCCCGGAGCTCAGTGGTAACTCCCCCAGAGCAGATCAACCGCAATTGATAATAAAAACGTTTTAGTGGATAAAATTATATATAAATACAAGCGACTGTTATTCTGTTAAGTTCAGACGGCTTGCAAGGAGGATTGGCTCCCAGAGTGCAACATCGATATTCTGTCCCATATAAGGGCATGTCGTGATACAAAATTTGAGTTCAAACAGCTGCCATTTTGTTCACTTCAACATTTGAATCTTGAATTTTGGACTTATTTCCTGACGAAAAATTCCAAAACTCAGAAGAAATGATCGAGATATTGGTTCGAATCTTTTGAACTGTTTATTTTGAAATTTTGTCGGTTTTAATTTTAGAAAATAACGACATTCCGACGTTTTCATTGTTGGATAATATCGAGTTTCGATCCTGGGAGCCAATCCTCCTTGGACGGCTTAATAACAAATCAGGCCTCCATTATTTGAAGATTAATACCATTTAATTTTTCAATGTTTTTTTTATTATATAATTTATTCGCTAAACATATCATGACATAACATGAAAATGGAGAGCAAGCAAACTGGAACGATAACAATTTGAATTCTATACAATCTCTTAGATGGGTGGAGTGTATCTGAAAATAAAATCATTTTTTGCAATGATTGATTTTTCTTTGGAAAGTGATGGGTAAATAAATATTGAACAAATGAAAGAATGAATGAATTTGAACAAATGCTTGTGTTTATAAATGATACACGCTTTTAAATAATTCATTTCACAACGTTTTTAATTACTTAACGCAATTGGTTTCGGGGACTTGCCAGCCCCAGGGACGCCCCAAGAAATATTTTAAATTTTAATTTAAAACAGAGATGTACACATTTGAAAGAACATGTGTTCCATCAATATAACGACTATTCCAGATATTTATTCGTCAATGTTGTAAAAATCATTTGGAGTATGGGACGTCTGCATTGTTTTCAATAACTTCGCATTGGACCAGAACTGGCTTAAAACAAAATTCCTACAGAGGACTGATTTAGCCATTGCCCAAGATGGGTTATTTTGTCCGAGAAGAAGCGTGCTTTTAAGCTAATTGTGCGAAATTATTGTTATTTCTAAATGTAAAATCTCATCTCACCCCGTGCCTAAGGTTGCCAAACGTTTTGAGGGAAGTGTAACTTCACTATGACATGTTTTTAAGAAAATAAGGCTCTCGTGTTCATCATAACAAATATCAATTCATTTACTCCTCATATATGTAGTTTTCAAATAGCACAGTAATTTAATGATACTGGTTATATGCATTTTTCCGCAAAATTATATTTTGGGAAATCCTGACTGGGGGTTCGAACCCACCGAACCCCCGCTGCCTACGGCTATGATATTGTTATCTGCACTCATTCGCTCTCTTGTGCAGATATTGATATCACCTCGTAGATAAAAATGATATCACTCAAAATCATAGGATATCCTATAAGTACATTGAAGAACATTGTTTTGGAGAAATTACACTTATAAACCCATTATTATGTTTTTATGTCACATGGTTTATTTTAGCAGATGTGTTTGTTTATCAGCATAATTTCTTGCAATATATTCTTGTCTTTTCATAAAGGTTGCATGTTTCAAACAATCAAATAACGATAAATAACAAATCTCATCCCATTTAGTTATCAAAATAATTATATTGTTCAACTGATATAGTATCTAATTAGGAAGACTGAATAAAGCATATAAAAACTTGAAACTCTTAAGGTTCAACTTCCTTATACTCTTATCACAGGAGGAAATATATCGTACATGTAATTATTATTTCTTTTCACAGGATATGTCAATTGGAGATCGGAATAACATCATGGATCAATGTAAGCAAGGGGCTGTTTCAGAACTGACTGCGGAAAATGCTACAATGACAGAAGTGAATTTAGAAAAATACACAGCTTGTGTACTAGGCCGGATAAAGAATATATTACCATAGAATACTTAATCATTTCCTGTGAATTTGTGAAAAAAATATCCAAAGAACACTCAGGGGAATACTAATGTCAAAGGACATATGGAATCGTCATTTACACCAAAAGGAGTAGATTTTATTCAATGATGAATGTACTTGGACATGCCACCTGATCAGAAATGTTGTCGTAGCTGTTTAATAACCAATAAATATTTAAATATTATTTGAAGTGTTTTAGGCCCCATGAGGCAGAGCGGGGGTTATCAAGGGTGCATATGTGTATCCTCATTCACAATGATATTCACTCCTTTAGGGAATTTTAAAAAGATGTTTTAGTGTTAAAGACTTAATATTTTGTCAGATGTGGTATTTTGTATAATAAATATCAGGAAAATAAAAATGTTATTTTATTGCATACCATATATACTATAGGTAATACCTAATGGTGGAAGCTTTGTAAGAGATTGCTAAATATGGCAAGTTTTCATCTGATGCAAGTCATGTTGAATCTCAGTAGGAAAGGCTTGGGTTGGGTCACAAACAACAACTTACCAATTTCGGGTTGGGTCAGAACACCCAGAGATATTTTAAATTATCGTAAATTGCTTTATATTTCTGGCAAAAGTTTCAAACTTCTAGCTGTCCTGTTTCTTGTATATGTATAGATGAAAGGAAAATATGATACAAAATGTCTTCCTGAACGAATGCTAAGTTCTATCATTTTTTCCTTTATCAAAGCATAATGCAGTAATGCCAGTAATGCAGGTGTAATGACCGATAGCAAGTCACTACTACAGTCTCAGCTGTAGTGGCTAGCCCTTATGGCTCAGGGGTAGAGCGTTTGACTCGAGAGCAGGAGGTCCTGGGTTCGATTCCCGTACGGGGCATTGAATTTAGCACATTCTCTTTCGAGTCTAGTATCTGGCTCGGTACACTACAGCTCCCCGACGAGCGTGCCCAAGGGTCGTTACATTGGTGTCAGAAGTGGGATTGCCCTTGTAAATCAGTTACGACGGGACGTCCTCTTCTAGGGGGGGATGGTGTAATGACCTTCGATAGCAAGTCGCTACTACAGTCTCAGCTGTAGTGGCTAGCCCTTATGGCTCAGGGGTAGAGCGTCAACTCGAGAGCGGGAGGTCCTGGGTTTGATTCCCGTACGGGGCATTGAATTTAGCACGTTCTCTTTCGAGTCTAGTATCTGGCTCGGTACACTACAGCTCCCCGACGAGCGTGCTTAAATACTGAAATAGGCTAAAAGTGCACCGATGACACACCATTGGTCCAAATCCAGTTTGTCGGAATCCTAATGGTCCGAATCCAAATTAGTCCGAATGCCATTCGTTCGAATCCCAATTACTGTAGATTGGGTTAATTTGGCGCTACTTAATTTGGCGATTTTTGGCATATTGACGGCTATTTGATTTGGCGGATATGCAAAAAAATTGTTAAACTTACGTTTGCAACTATCATGTAAATGGGCATGTTTGGCTATGTTCATTTTATCTTTTGAGGACCAATGGCGATATTCACCACATTTGTACATATTTGTGAGATCATCCTTTACATTTTGCCCCTCGATCGATGCTGCTCCTATACCGCGCTTTTCCTTTCTAGTTTTCCCTGAGTATTAATGAGTGACTGACCAGTTCTGAGCCAATTTATGAGAGACATTTTTTCATATTTTTGGAAAAAACTAAACTGGAAGTGACCTAGATACACTGGACGAAATACCCTAGATAATTCCCGGGGATTCATTCTAAATTTTGGCGAAGATTTATATTGGCGAATTTTTCAAATTCGCCAAATTCGCCAAATTAAAGCGGGCTAAATTAACCCAATCTACAGTATCCGAATCCCAATGGTCTGAATCCCATTAGTCCAAAAACAGGAAATACATGTATCATGATAGAAATACTTTGCATAATGTTTTAGCTCAACATATCTAAAACCTGCATTCAATATTCTGTTGACAAAATCTATGCAAATGATGTTGATCTCTTTACTGTATGTACCAATACGTGTGGGATTACGGCACTTAAAATGAGGCATAGAGTTTATTTAATGGGGGGAATGGAATGTGAATTTTATTTCGAGGGAATTATATCCTTTGACCGAGGGTGACAGCTCCAAGGCCAATATATTTTCTCGAGGAAAAAAATCGTTTTCCATCATGACCATCAATAACCTATTTATGCTATAATGTTTTTCTGATTTTTCATAATGTTTTAAAATCCAAATAATTCATAATACTAATATGGATCATAAGATGCCATAAGAACACAAGTCTCATGAAATTTTCTGATATATATTTGTAGTTCTGATACGGTATCTGATAGGTCTATGGGATTTTGGCTGATACGGGATCCAATACGTGATCGGGATCTAATATGTGATCTGATACTGGATTTTGGCTAATACGGGATCTGATACTGGATTTTTTGAATATCAGTAGCAGTTAGGGATATGCGATTTTTTGTTGAATTTCGGAATCAGTTACTGAGCCCGACTGTTTTACTTTCTAATATACAGGGTGTCTATATGCTAAATATAATATTTCCAATAAACATATAAACGACGAGTCGATTTTATTCAATAATCACCCAATGAGGTGACTCCAATTCACCTATACAGTATATACGAGGGTTGATCATAAAGTTCTCATAATATCTCTCTAATTTCTTTATTTTTATTTAATATTTTCCTATGAAATTTTCACATAATGTGCAGCATGGAATGTTTTATTAATCCCTCAAAGATTATTTAGAATAACAGGAACATTAAATAAGAAATGGTTGCCATAGTAACTTGAAATCAAGGCACCCGGGGCAAATAAAAAAGCTAGCTAGAATAGCCCTCATTAACCATGTTTAAATACATTATAAATTGTCAAATAAGCTATCAGACACATTAAATTATCAAATGATATGTGCTTTTGACTGTTGGGAACTATTATAATGGTCATATGAATTGTGTGATCTCATAATGGATGATTGGTATGCTTCATTAGAAGTGACTGTTAGACCCCATGACTGTTTTGTCAAATATCCTGAGGAAAATTGATTTTGCCCCTTTAGTTCATTTTTTAACATGTACAGACCACAAACAGGGGGTAGTTTTGTTGATATCTTAACAATATATTTGTTTTAGATCATGTTTAGTCTGACCAAAGGATCTTACAAACTTAACATAACATTTTATCAGTATGAATTTTATTTTTCTGAAGATCTCTGCAACTATTGGATTCTCTTACTCAGTCATTTCTGATCATAAGCTTTGAGTCTCAGACTCTGGTATCACATCTAATAAAGCATGAAAGCACCCCCTATGACATCACACAATCCACATTATCATTTTTTTAATAGTAAAAGCACCTAAAAACATATTCAAGTTAATATTTTAATGTGTTTGGTAATTTATGAGAGTTTATTATGTGTGGTAACATGGTTAATTAGAGCCATTCTCTCAATTACTTTTATTTGCCCGGGGGGCCTTGATTTGCCGTTACTATGGCAACCATTTCTTATTTAATATTTCTGTTAAATTAACTATTTTTCGCTGAATTAATAAGACATTCTATGTTGTACATTCTGTGAAAATTTCATTAGAATATATTGAAAATAAAGAAATTAAAGAGATATTATGAGAACTTTATGATCAACCCTCGTATAGTCCAGTCTATGTGGATTCTCAAGCAATTAAGATTACGACATTAAAGCGCATGCCCAAAACCCAATTCAATAATAGAATTTCGAATAGATTTTGCTTTCAATTTGTTTCTTTTTCTTGTGTCTAAGCTTTTTTATACAGTACAGTATGGTTGATGGAGGGGTGTTATATAGACATCTACCCATATGTACAGTATTTTATTGACCCTCTGATGTTATAACAATGACATATTAAATTAACTACAAAAATACTCAGTCCACATGGTACTGATACCATTTAATGATTACAAAACGATCTTGGCTGAATCAAAATGCAATTGCATATTCCCGGGGGGGATATTAACTTTGTCCTCTGTCATTCCCGGGATCAAGCTATTTCGTTCAGTGTAGTCACCTGACACGAACTTCCAAGAACTCAAGAAGTGCATTAATCGCTGGTCTGTTTTACACCAAAGACTCGTTTTTGTCTAGGTTTAGGCTCACACGGGGAACAGTTAAGACAGGGGTGATGTTCTGATGGTTAAAATAGCTGTTATCAAACTATAATCGTAAGTGTTTCTGTTTATTACTGAAATTCAAATTTGATTTTGAATGCTGACCTTGCTCTTTTTTTAAGATTTTCGCCAGCTAAAATGTCACTCGACTTTTTTGCAAAAAACCATCCAAAAAGTAACAGTCGCATTAATTTACATTGTCGTACTTACAAAATGATCCACCGCCTAACTTATTCACTTACTTTCTTCACCATCGAACTCAGTAATATTGTACACGTAACTATTTAGAAAACTGGGCTTGCTTTTCAACATTTCAAGCGAAAATTCTTTTCGGAGCTTTTGTTTTTCTGACGTAATTTCTTCTAAGAAATCGGTGACGTGATAAGTTCAGTTCATCTTATTTCCAAAGGGGTGTCATCTATTTAGAATATTTATTTTCATCTTGTCCATATACAACCTGAACCTGCCCTTATCCTATACGCTTGTGAAACCGCGTAGTAATGTTGAAATTATGGAAAAGATTCTCTGAGAGTGGCGACATGTCTGCATCTCTACCATCTTGCGTTTGACACCCCTCGTTTTGGGCGAGTTCAAGTAAACCGCACATCCGGGTGATTAGAAAATAAGACATTTTTCAAGAAAATTGGAGCGGTGAGACAGATTACTCTGGTCAAACTGAGTTTTTGACGAAACTTATGAAAGAATCAATAAAAGGTAAGTGATATACATTAGGCGGATGCCAAAAATTAAACATGGCGCCAATTTGAAACTTCAGAATGCCTTCTGTGATTCAAAATCACAAAAAAAGTCGAGTGACATTTTAGCTGGCGAAAATCTTAGGCTAGGCTAGATCTAGCCTAGCCTAGACTAGTACAGACTTACTAAAACACATAGCCATCTTTAGATTGATTTTCACAAGTACAGACTTACTAAAACACATAGCCATCTTTATTTTGATTTTCATATGCTATCTATTGCAAGACTTATGCCTGGTACAACCATGTTATTACATGAAGTGTTTTTAAGTTTCGCAAGGATCCTGCCTTGAGCGTGGTATTGTTATCGTGAAAGCCTGGTATAACCATGATGACAATGCTATAGTATTATATTGCAAGGCCTGTCAAGACCACGGTAATGTTAAAGCCTTATTTGACTGTGACAATGCTATATTATATTGCAAGACCTGTCTTGCCCATGGCTGTTAAAGCCTTATAACAAGGCCTGTCTTATCGAATTCTACGACCACTTTAGATTGTGGTCGTACGCGCGAATCATTGGTCAGTCAATGTTTTTACAAATTTGGAGAAAACACTACGCATTGCACACCTAAATGACCTACCTCGATACATTCCTTAGTATTTTAGAATTCTTTTTATGTAGTTGAATCGCCAATTGTATGGGTTTATCGGCAGAACGAAGAGGTTTTCGTTTTTGATAGCAATATTTGTGTGTAATACTTTCAACCGTCAAATTCCTCCATTCAGTTCCCGGCATGCACCAGTCATAAGGGAAATCCCTGGGGAATTCCCCTTCCGACATTTTGAAAATTGCTGACATATTTCCGAAAACTAAAATCTCAGGCCATGCAATGTAATAAAGCATTGTCCCTAGTGACTAAACCCTAGTTGACTCGGACCCTAGTCAACATGTAAGAGGTGAAAGCAATTAACTTGCAAAATATTAAGAATATTGGAATAGTTTAAGGTATAATTCAATTCATTACTGAAATCTGATGATGTTTATGTATATTTCTGATAAGTCAAAATCACTCTTTTAAAACCTTTATACTTTTATGCTAGTTGCCTCATATGTGATCAAAATACTCTTTATAATTAAATAAGAATAATTTTGATTCATTTTATGTTGACTTTATATAGACAAAGAAATTAATTCAATTTAGCCTGTGTTGTATAATATGCTGTTATATTAAGTTTGATTAAGAAACCTAATTAAGAAATCTTGATTCCTCTGATAAGCATTTAATTAAGGTGTTGAAGTAAACAAAATATAGAGGTATTACATTAATTCCAATATATAGTATGGTGAAATGTATTAGCGCATTTGTGTTTTAACAAATAATCTTTACAAATTCATTTTCTAAACATGCATAAAATTACTTTCTGTTTGTCAAAAATACATGATTATTTCATAACACATTTTTATTTCATATTTCAAAACTTCAAGGCGCATATAATGGAGATACAATGATTAAAAAATTTGGTGATCTTGGTAAAATGTTCAATGAGTGGGGAATTTGAATATATTTTGATTTAATAAATCAAAGAATGACAAATACAAATGGCAAATTTATCAAACATGGTATTATCATTTGATTTGAAACTTTAATGTTTTACTTTGTTAAGTAATTCATTAAAAATCATTGACTTTCAATTTGATTAAAATGTTTATAACTATAACTTGGTTTGAAGAATTGAGGTCAACAAAATTTAATTCACATTGAATTCGTAATTTATTGTCAAATACTATTTGTTTTTAATTTTTTTTCCAAAAGTCTCTAAAATAACTTTTTAAGTCATGACAAATAGTAAATGAATGATAAAAAAAATATTTTTAAACTTTAGACGGGGACTTTAATCAGAGACGATACCCTTATCCCGTGCCAGGACTATAGTTCTGAGAACGTCTCAATCTTTTGACTGTACGGTTACAACATGGGAGAATTTTCTACTCCTCTTACGCTTAAGATAAAGATACCTACTTCAATAAATTCCTGGGTATTTTAGCATTTTAGCTTAGGCAGCGTTCTAATTCAATAAATTGTTGAGTATAGATCGAGGCTAGACCCCCTAGGCTAGACCTAGGTGTGTTTTGGCTTGCACGTTACTTTCACACCATAACCCACTTCCGGGGGCGTAGCCAGCTTTTAGTCAAATTTTGATCGTGATTCAGATTGTGGCAAAAGCAAGCCAAAACTTAATTTGTTTGAATTTACAAAAATTGATGTAACTTCCTTCAAGAAGAAAGTTATTTGGTTACCTAGCAACTTAGGGGAGGCATCAAAAGTTCGATGTCGGATAGAAAACTAAATAAATCTAGTTAGGGGGGGAGGGGGTTCAAACCCATTTCAGTTTGCTATCCGACAAATTTCAACATTTCAAATTTTTGGCAATTTCAACTCAGAATGCCTTGGAATGGTTTAAAAATAACGATTTTACCTGATGCTTTCTTCGTCAAGATCATTCCAATGGATTCTATTCTATCAATAGTTGTCAAAAAGCCGCAAATTACGATAGGAATTAACAAAAACTAGATCGTGTTTAGCAAAATTTTTCAAATTCTCAAACCGGAAGTAAGCGATCAACTTTCACGGTATTTAGTTTTTGGGGGGAGGGGGGGGTCTGAGTCAAAACTAGATTTATTTAGTTTCCGATCCGACATCGAACTTTTAATGCCTCCCCTTACCAGGCATTACTAAAGCTAACATTTACTAATATCTTTAGATTTCATTAAGTTATAGTTATGGAGCCAATATAAGGTAACCATGGTTACTAATCATTATATCCAAATGACTAATATATTCTATTGATATTGAAACTCTATTGATCCTCACAGTAGTAATTCTAAAAATGATCAAGGTCCCCTGTGAATATATTTGGTGTGTTTTGTTAATTGACAATATTGTTGGAGGTTCAATTTCTATTTTTAAGGATGATGTTTTTGTGTCATTTATTTACTATTTCTCCCTTACTGAAAAAAGTACACATTAATCGAAACAAGGAAGTACATTAAAAAAAATAAAAATGTTTGCAAAAACGCCTAGTCACCTGATATTCTCCACCCACATACTAGAATGAATTGAAAGGAATAATTGTATATTGGACCAAGTTGTTAAACCTTTATATGTGAATATTTTGAATGATATTACTCTTTCCAGTGATACTTTGGCTACAGGGTGCTAAAAAAACAGCCTGCTATTACAGTATTATGCACATTTGCACATCATTTATTTATTTCCTTACCTGCCTAGTGCCTACCATATTTCATGACCAACAGAACATGCTCCACTCCAGTGGCCACTATAGCGATGTACGCACACCCGCACATGTCATCCAAAATGTCCTTTCTGACTCTCAGGATAATGCATTGCAGACCAAAAAATGGAGATTATCTGTCATTCAGGCCATACCTGCTGAGAATACCAGTGGGTTCATTGGCAACTTGTGCAGGTTACAGTGCGCATGTTGTTGAAAGTACTGTAACATCATGACTTTCAGTTTGATTGTCATGAAATATGGTAGTATAATAGGAAATTGACTGATGTAGAAATATGCAAAATATCAGGGAGTCAGCCATTCCTTAAAATGACCATGGGCCGTCAACTAGACAGGCCATGAAATGACAAAGATATATGAGGAAAATGCAGAGTTGCAATTTTTTGACCAGCCTGCAGTAAGCGGCCATTTTTATGCTAAAAACTGTGGCTAATTTTTACATTGTCATTTCACCCTTTAATATAACGGCAAAAGTAATGGAGCAATTTAGAAGTATATTATACTGTCTCATGAGAGTTTGGCTAATTTCAAAATATGGCAGCCATGGCTGTTTGATAGGATTTGCTATGCCTTGGTGTTACTGTTATCTAGTTTAATTAAGGTTCACATAGTTCCAGAATTGCTTTCAAATATATTCATTTACAGAAAACATAATAATAGCCTTGTCACATTTGTATCATTTCTGTACCATTTATTGATTGATACATTTTTGTCTAGGTTAGTAACAAACTTTTTGCACTTGTCATTTTGTCTGCACTTACATGGATGTCTATTTCCAGATTGTAAACTAGAGGTACATTAACCATGGCCTTACATTCGACTCGGATATATGTGTTGTACTTGGTCCTATCCCCAGTTTTATTGCAAGGATTATTTGTGTCAACTGCAGGAGGTGAGTATTAAATTCTTTGAGGTGCACATTTACTTTATTATGATCTCCCCAGCATCTTTTTTTGTGGCGCAGCGCCCATTTCAACTGAAAACTTCATAATTAACTTTGTACTGTAACACAGATATTGTGTATCCTTTTCTTAACAATGAATTTGTAAACTATGATTTATGATTTATATAGCTATTACACTGGTGATCCACTCGATTACACTGGTTACCGAAACGAACCGTTTCGGAACATCGAAGCTACGATTTTTCTTTTTCCTTATTTTACACCTTGTAGGCAGAATTCTCACGACATTTTTAACACAAACGTGTATCAGTAACATATGTTTAGATTTAATTCCTCACTTAAACACTGTTCCACAACTGGATGACTCTAACTGCAGTTAGCTTCATTCAAGATGGTTGCCGAGATTCTTTTGTTTTCGATAAACCTCCAATTTCAGCTAAAATAAGTTGAATCTGGATTCCAAATGTTTCGCCATGCAAATTAATAAAGCTACGATGGTAAATAACCACAAATAAATGCTCAAACAACCGCGATATTGGAGAATTTTAAAGAAAACGGCTTCACTTAGAATGACTCTAACTGAAGTTGATGATGACGTCATGATGGCGTAGATCATCAACTTCAGTTAGAGTCATTCTAAGTGAAGTCGTTTTCTTTAAAATTCTCTAATATTATGGGTGTTAGAGCATTCATTTGTGGTTGAATACAATCATAGTTTTATTAATTTGCATGGCGAAACTTTTGGAATCAAGATTCAACTTAGTTTAGCTGAAATCGGAGGTTTATCGAAAACGAAAGAATCTCGGCAACCATCTTGAATGAAGCTAACTGCAGTTAGAGTCATCCAGTTGTGGAACAGTGTTAAAGTAAAGAAACGGTATTTCGAAAAACAGTTAAGATCTGCACTTTTAACCCAAACCATTCCTGTAACTTAAGTGAGGAATTAAATGGACGATTCTGTTGTCTTCTGAGCTATTTTTTCGCAAACATGTTCATTTCCTAAAATATATGATACTGATACAGTACATGTTTGTGAGAAAAACGTCGTGGGGATTCTGCCTACAACGCGTGAAATAGGGAAACAAGAAAAATCATACTTTCGACGTTCCGATATTTTGGTAACGAACCGAACCGTTTCGGTAACCAGCGTAATCGAGCAGATCACCAGTGTATTACGAGTGATTGATGATACAATCAATTCTCTAAATGAAATATGAATGTCAACATAAAAATCATTTGTGGTTTTCATGAATCATGACATTGATGGCAGAATTAAAAACAAAAATAGTTTTTGAAGTTTATTCCGACTTTATTGCATATATATTGTACATGTATTTAAATATACATATTATACGGCATTTGATGCAAATATGTTTGATTGATTTCATTCAGCAAATTGTATTTCTTGCGTTTTCAGAAGTAACACCAGTGAATCCTCTAGTTGAGCTTGGAAATTATATTGAACTAAACTGTACATTGACAGGGGATGTTGCCCCCTTCAACTCAAGCCACCTCTATTTCCAAGCTGGCTCCAAAGAAATCTCATCAGAATTCTATGCGATCCTGTCTCCAACTATAATGACATACAAAGAGAATATGACAGGACAATACACTGGGAGTCAACCATTTTATTGCTACTTGAACAATAGCATGAACGGTACATACATTGGAGGACAGGTGGCTAAAATAGGAAGTATGACAACAATTTTTACTCCATCTTCTACATATTTTGTGAAACCTATAAACTATGTTATATTCTGTTTGGTAATATTCATGCACGTTGCAGTTGGAGGATAAGCACTGACAAGTCTTAAAAATTACAACATATTTTTAGCGATAATAAATATTTACTAGAGTAATATTAAATACCAGGAAGTAAATTCAATTTAAGTCATAGTGGAGATGTTGTAATTAATGGTGACGCTACCAAACAGTGAAGAATGTAACAGTGAATACATCCTAGGTATACAGATGGCGTAAAATTAATATGATTCTAGGTATACAACAACAATCATCAATTTTTATTATCGTACCTAAAAAAAGGTACGATATTGTAGTCAGCTTGACGGGCTGGCAGGCGGGCGGGCGGCGTCTCACTTTTCAGCTTGTCTACAGGTTTCCAGCCAAACCATTTGAGGGATTCATCTGAAATTTTCAGGGATGTTTCTACATATCAACGTCAAGAACTGATTAGTTTTTGGGCATTCTGGGTAAATTTTAAGGTGGCCATTTTGGATTTTCCGTCCTAAAATCTTTACTTTCAAGACTTGTCTACAGGTTTCCAGCCAAACTTTGAGGGATTCATCTGAAATTTTCAGGGATGTTTCTACATATCCACGCCCGATGATCGTGAAAATGGGACGGAGGGGGGGAGCAGGCAATTTCCGCTAGAAAATTCAACAAATCTGGTAAAATTATTTTTTCAAGACAGAGTTTACGATTGAATTGCAAATTGAATAAGCGCACGGTATGATAAAATATGTTAGGTATTCTAGGATTATTTTTCAACCGATACTCTTTTAAGATATAAGATCTATTAAAAAAGGCGCAACGCAACCAACGTTCAAAAGTCAAAGTTTTTGCTATAAATCAAGCAACAATGGACTACACGACCTGTAATAAATAAATTGTAAGTGATGTTATCATAACTAAATTAATGTCATTGCTGAATTTATAAAATAAGTTTCCATACGTAAATAAAAGATAATCGAAAATAATTAAAATGGGACGGAGGGAGGGGAGGGGACGGAGGGGCGGAGTAATAATTCTATAAAGTGAAACAACTTCACACGAATTCTTGTATTTGAAAAATGAACTCATTAACTTAGTAAGAAACTGGATGATATACCCCTGGAGACTGAAAAATGGGGACATTTGGAGTAAAAGGACTTAAAGTCGCGAAACATCTCTAATCATGTCTTATATACATATTGCTCCCCCCCTCCGTCCCCTCCCCCCTCCGTCCCAAATTCATTATTTTCGATTATTTTTTATTTCACACATGGAAACTTATTTTATCAATTCAGCAATGACATTAATTTAGTTATGATAACATCACTTACAAGTATTTATTACAGGTCGTCCAGACCATTGTTGCTTGATTTATAGCAAAAACGTTGATTTGTGCCTGTTGATGGCCTTGCGCCTTTTTTAATAGATCTCATACCTTAGATGCGTATCGTTTCAGAAAAAATCCCAGAAAACCTAACATATTCTACCATACCATGCGCCTATCCATTTAGCAATTCAATAGTAAACTTTTTCTTGAAAAAATAAATCTTCCAGATTTGTTGAATTTCCTAGCAGAAATTGCCTGCTCCCCCCTCCGTCCCATATTCATGATCACCGGGCGTGATATCAACGTCAAGAACTGATTAATTTTTGGGCATTCTGGGTAAATCTTAAGGTGGCCATTTTGGATTTTCCGTCCTAAAATCTTCATTTTCAAGACTTGTCTACAGGTTTCCAGCCAAACCATTTGAGGGATTCATCTGGAATTTTCAGGGATGTTTCTACATATCAACGTCAAGAACTGATTAGTTTTTGGGCATTCTGGGTAAATTTTAAGGTGGCCATTTTGGATTTTCCGTCCTAAAATCTTCACTTTCAAGACTTGTCTACAGGTTTTCAGCCAAACCATTTGAGGGATTCATCTGAAATTTTCAGGGATGTTTCTACATATCAACGTCAAGAACTGATTAGTTTTTGGGCATTCTGGGTAAATTTTAAGGTGGCTATTTTGGATTTTCCGTCCTAAAATCTTTACTTTCAAGACTTGTCTACAGGTTTCCAGCCAAACCTTTTGAGGGATTCATCTGAAATTTTCAGGGATGTTTCTACATATCAACGTCAAGAACTGATTAGTTTTTGGGCATTCTGGTTAATTAAATTTTAAGGTGGCCATTTTGGATTTTCTGTCCTAAAATCTTCACTTTCAAGACTTGTCTACAGATTTTCAGCCAAACCATTTGAGGGATTCATCTGAAATTTTCAGGGATGTTTCTACATATCAACGTCAAGAACTGATTGGTTTTTGGGCATTCTGGGTAAATTTTAAGGTGGCCATTTTGGATTTTCCGTCCTAGAATCTTCACTTTCAAGACTTGTCTACAGGTTTCCAGCCAAACCGTTCAAATTTTTACATATGTCACACAGTGATAAGTTCTAGAGCTGATTAACTTTTCTGCGGCCATCTTGCTTTCTTGGTCAACAAGACCACAATGCTGTGTTTTAGGTACGATATTGTTCACGTCTGTGCCTTGTTGTTTTCATGGTGATATTTGTTTTTGAAACTTATGAAAAGCATATTGTTATGTCCCCACCACATAGTGTGGGGCCATATTGTCGGCCTAGGCGCGTCCGTCCGTCTGTCTGTCCGTCTGTCTGTCCGTCCGTCCGTCTGTCCGTCCGTACGTCCGGGAGTTTTCTCCAAAACCGCTACAGATATCACCTTCAAATTTTCAGGGATAACTTATGAGTGCATACAGATGTGGATAAAAAAAATTAACTCGATACCTACTTCCTGTCGGCCATTTTGAAGTCAAATGCTAAAATCCTTGTCTGCAAACTTTAAGAAAAACGGCTTCACAGTTGCTTTTAAAACTTTAAAATCTTGTTCAGCTCACTTCATTCTAGATCTGATTAGGTTTTGGACCTGTTAGCTCAGTCATGTCAGCCATTTTGAATGTCTTAAGAAAAGTTAGCGCACGATAATACTTTGTATCATATTGAATGGTGTTTTTGAGTTTTCATATTCTAACTATTTAGTAGCTTTATAAATAATTTCAGATGTACTTTGTTGTTAAAGCCTATGTTGTTGTTAACAGTATTTGTTTGTGATAATTTTGTAAAAAGAAATCAGCAAAAACTCATGATCACTTTTTTATTGTCAGCCATTTTGGATTTTTCCGTCCTAAAATCTTGTCTGTGGAGTCTTGTCTACGTGTTTTCAGGTGAACCGTTTGGTGGATCAATTCTTGATTTTCAGGGATGATTCTTAGTATAAAAATCTAGATCTGATTAGTTTTTTGGCATTCTGGGTAAATGTCAAGGCAGCCATTTTGGATTTTCCGTCCTAAAATCTTGTCTGTAAAGTCTTGTCTATGCGTTTTCAGGTGAACTGTTTGGTAGATCAATTTCAATTTTTCAGGGATGATCCTTAATATGAAAATGTACAACTGATTAGTTTTTTGGCATTCTGGGTAATTGTCAAGGCAGCCATTTTGGATTTTCCGTCCTAAAATATTGTCTGTAAAGTCTTGTCTACGCATTTCCAGGTGAACAGTTCTGTAGATCAATTTCAAATTTTCAGGGATGATTCTTAGTATGAAAATCTAGATCGTAAAGTCTTGTCTATGCGTTTTTAGGTGAACCGTTTTGTAGATCAATTTCAAATTTTCAGGGATGATTCTTAGTATGAAAATCTAGATCTGATTAGTTTTTTGGCATTCTGGATAAATGCCAAGGCAGCCATTTTGGATTTTCCGTCTTAAAATCCTGCCCGTAAAGTCTTGTCTACGCGTTTTTAGGTGAACCGTTTTGTAGATCAATTTCAAATTTTCAGGGATGATTCTTAGTATGAAAATCTAGATCTGATTAATTTTTTGGCATTCTAGGTAAATTTTAAGGTGGCCATTTTGGATTTTCCGTCATCAAATTGTGTCGGTAAAGTCTTGTCTACTCATTTTTAGGATAACCATTTGACAGGATCACCCATAGGTGGGGACATTTTGTACACATTTGTGTTCTTGTTTTGATTGTTAGAGATTACATTTTAAAGTAATTAATTGATACTTGCGAACTTGAACTTAGTGTCAGAGGTCAGATCAGAGGCAGAGTCACTGCAATCCATATTCTTCATTACTAGTATATATTTAGCTATATTGGAGTAAATGTGAAATTGAAAATTTCACAGATTTTCACTATTTAAATCACCCTCTTTCCTCCTGTGATATTCCCTTACCGTTACCTCCTCTCAATAGCCTGCTTTTCGGTGTCAAATTGTCCTAACTCCATAGAAAATTCAAAAATACAATTTAACATTGTTCTATGTACCATTTTAATGAATCAAATTGTTCGAATTACACCATGTGACTAGGAATTATTATATTACAATTTTAGACTGTGATTTGAATTTATTTTTGAAAAATTGAATAGAGAAATTTGTGACCATTGAAAATACATAGCAAAATGGACATAGCTCAGCTTTAATCTTTTAATGTTATGAAAAATTCGGAATCGAATTGTCCTACATGTATCTCCATTTTTAATATGCTCAAAAACAGTTTTACATATATGTCAGATAGATACTATTGAAGTTACAGATGTCTAAACTTTCAAAAATTGATTTCTCAGTTTTACAAAAATGTGAGTTGGGACATTTTTATTCTCATAGGACGACATATTAACCTGAGTGGAGTGTTCAACAGAAATAGAATTAATTTATAGCCTACACATGTATTTAAGGAATAAATTGTTCATTGTAGACTCACGCCCGGTGATCGTGAAAATGGGACGGAGGGGGGGAGCAGGCAATTTCTGCAAGAAAATTCAACAAATCTGAGAGATTTATTTTTTCAAGAAAAAGTTTACTATTGAATTGCTGAATTGATAGGCGCACGGTATGGTAAAATATGTTAGGTCTTCTGGGATTTTTTCTGAAACGATAGGCATCTAAGATATGAGATCTATTAAAAAAGGCGCGAGGCAACCAACAGACACAAATCAACGTTTTAGCTATAAATCAAGCAACAATTGTCTACACGACCTGTATTAAATACTTGTAAGTGACGATATCATAACTAAATTAATGCCCTTGCTGAATTTAAGAAAAATAAGTTTCAATAAGTAAAATAAAAAATAATCAAAAATAATTATGGGACGGAGGGGGGGAGCAATATGTATCATGTCTTAGTACATATTGCTCCCCCCTCCGTCCCAAAATTATTTTCGATTATTTTTTATTTCACCTATGGAAACTTATTTTACAAAGTCAGCAATAACATTAATTTTGTGACGATAATGTCACTTACAAGTATTTATTACAGGTCATGTACACCATTGTTGCTTCATTTATAGCAACAACATTGACTTTTGCACGTTGGTGCGTTGCGCCTTTTTTAATAGATCTTATATCTTAAAAGAGTATCGGTTGAAAAATAATCCTAGAATACCTAACATATTTTACAATACCGTGAGCCTATTTATTTAGCAATTCAATAGTAAACTTCTTCTTTAAAAAATAAATCTTCCAGATTTGTTGAAATTTCTAGCAGAAATTGCCTGCTCCCCCCCTCCGTCCCAATTCTACGATCACCGGGCGTGAGACTCCTATAAAAATAATTTACAATAAGGGATGGTGACACAAATGATAAGATAAGATATAATGTATGCTCATTTAACAGCCTGACATAGACTTTGTTCAAAAACGTTTTTATTTACATATACCAACATTTGTTTGATTATGTTAAATAAATCTAATGCTTTTCAAGTAAATCAAACCTAGTGACATTTACATTTAAAACCTGAAGAGGTTATTTCTGAAAATGAATGAATCAAACGTGTAAATTGGCTTGTTATTTGCAATATTGTGCACTTATGATTAAATAGTGCTGGCATTGATAAATTAAATTATTTGTGACACACTTAAGCTAGTTTAATCAACTTTTTTTAATCATGATTAAAATTTTCTTGCCATTTTGGATAAGCATCTGATAGTGTGCTTCCCAGATCACTTACAGCAGTTTTATTTGAGACCCCTTTTATGCTTAATAACCTAATACAGTTATAAAAATACAACTTCACTCAAAAGATGTCACATATATCAAATTTTGTCCAGGAATTTGATAGTTTCAGTTTCTTTTTGTATTCACTAATTCTGATACATTGTTGTTCATATGACATCTTTTAATCTACTAGCTATATACAGCCACTTATATTTATTTTATTGCTTAACAACATTTTCTTACATTATCTTTTTCAGGGAAACCATTGATGCCAACAAATTTCCATGCTAGGTTTAATAACTGGAATGATGGACATTTTTCCTGGGAACCTGTGCAGAAGAATGTTACTTACCTGCATACAACAACCATTGTTTTATACAGCTTTGCGTAAGTAACTCTGGTCTTTGTAATTTTCATTTAATGACACATAGGTGTGGTCTTGGACAGTATATAAGTGACTTTCATTTAATGATAGATAACTCTGGTCTAAAAAATAGAAGAGGAAATTTTAACAACATAGAAACTTAGAATTAGAATTGAATACAATTAGGTAAAAATGGAATTTTTTTTATAATAGGGTTAAGATGAGTTTTACCTGTGTAATGGTGTTCGTGTATAATTACTGTTTGTATTCAGAGCAAAATTTTAGATGAAAAGGGGTTAAAAATATTCTCATTTACTTTTAGGGGTACCAAAAATGATTTGTTCACATGTTCCAATAAATAGATTTTTGTCCATTTTCAGTATTTCTTGTCACTCCGCAGCGTGGACGGAATTTGACAAAACTTCAATTTTTTTGCAGAATCCCTGATTTTCATGAAAATCCCGCAGAATTACCAGAATTTCCAGAAATTACATATTTTACGATCTCCTACCTTTGCGGGGTATTTGAAGAGTGTCTGTTTATGTCCAACAATCAATCATTATTGAGTACAAGTACGATTTCACCGTGAAATTCAACATTCTATCACGTTTAAATTCGCTAAAGCGAGTTCGCTAATGACGCACAGTTCTTACCTAGAAAGTAGCTGACTTGCAGAATTTGCTTTTTTTCTTGCAGAATTTTTTGCAGAATTTTGATTTTTTTCATGCAGAAAACTAGTATCTGTGGATCCCATCAAACGAAGTTCAAAAGGATATAGGTAACGCCTCCGTCTGTCCGTCCAGGCAATAACTCAAATACCGTTCGCCTGATTTTGTTCATATTTTGTACACATACTGTACGCCCGGTATTATTCGCGAGCTTTAATTTCGCGAATTTTGCGAAAACACGGTTTCGCGGCTATTAAATTTCGCGAATACTGTATTTTAACGTATTCGGGGATTCCCCAGTATATGATGTCCAATCAAATTGCAAGCTACGATCACGTGAACAATCGTGCGCACGTGCTCTTTCATTGCCGCGCATGCGCATAGTAAAGTCATGGAGTTGCACAGTACTATTGAAGTACTATAACTCGATCCAAACTAGTAGACAAAACGAAATGCATCAGAGCCCCGGGTAAAAACAAATTACCGGAGATTTAATTGGCAATTTTGCGACGATAATTTTTCGCGATTTTAACACCCTCGCGAAAAGCGCGAAAGTTAATCGCACGCGAATAATACCGGGCGTACAGTATGCCCTATGGGAGTTTAAATTCTGCTCGAAAGCCATTTTCAAAATGGCCGCTCATTCAAAAATGGCTGCCATTTTAGTGCTGATTTTACAGTAATTTAGGTACAATATATAAAAAACACTGTAGTAACAATATGTTTTAAATGTATAAAATTTTTACAGGACATTAATAAAGCATTTAAGAAGCACATGGCAGCCATCTTAAAAAATGGCAGTCTTTATATGTTATTTTACATTTTTTGCTGTAACTTGAAAAGTAGTGGAGTGATTTTGTTCATATTTGGTATGTGGATACTAACTATAAGCATGACACACTGTCTAATGACACTTTTGGTAGAAGGCGACCATTTTGAAAAAAGGCTGCCATTTTTATCTGTGTTAGTTTACATTTTTTACTATAACTCGAAAGGTAGTAGAGCGATTTTGCTCATATTTGATATGTTAATACTATATGCAGGCACAGGTTTAATGACACTTTGAGAAGAAGGCAGCCATTTTGAAAAATGGTCACCATTTTAACAAGTATTATTTAGCTTTTTTACTATAACTTGAAAAGTAGCAGTCAGCAATTTTGTTCATATTTCATCCACAAATCAAAAAACAACATTTGAAAACTATTGCGATTAGTTATTGGTTAAATGGTATTTTGACAGGTCTTATAGGTGCAACTTATAACTAATTAATCACAATTTATACTACTAACCGCAAATTGTAGATTTAATGTAACCTTTTCATTTCATGTTTTAAACAAAAAGGGATTTGTTTGTTATTAATCATGATACATTTTGTGTTTTACTGTTACAAGTAACAACATAACATTTATTTGACACCCAGTATGAAATGTAAATGTATATATACAGCGCTTGCATTAGGTTAGAAAATTTGTGAGTCCCAAGGACGCAATTTTTTAAAAAAAAGTGTGTCCCCTATTTCTAGCCTGTTTTGAGGTATAACTTTATTTTAAAAGCATTTTTTACCAAAACACCTTTCAGTTTTTGATTTCTTGCCGCGAATTTAAAATGGAAGTAAACGAAGTACGGACTGAATAAATGCATGTTCGTTCATTCGACAATGAAAACATTTTATTTCATGAATAACCTAATATTTGTTTCTGAATAGGAAAAACTGTGGCGTGTCATGGTTTCAAATCTAAAAATAAACAAAGTCGAAAAAATTCGAGAGAATCATGATTATTTGTAAATATTCAACATGTTGAGCCTTATTTACGATTCAAATAAAGATGAGAGATCATAATTATTTGTTTTTGTTAGGTATCGTTGTAAACACATTGTAGTATTGACCTAAAAAAAGTTTGCGTCCAAAAAATGGAAATATTTTAGTTGGAAGCTCAAACTTTAACATTATAGAGGATAGTTAGTTTGCTTGAAACTGTACAAGTTTCATATAAATAAGTTTATTGGTAGTGATACAGAGTCAATTCATATTTTCAATGACAAAGTTAGGTGGAGCAGCGTAATATATAAAATATCTGCTAAGTTGTGGTTCTGGAAATTTACCAACGTCATTTAAAACCTCTCATATGAAGGCCTTTAACACGTGTTTTTGGATCGAGTGGACAGATATAGGAAGTGCATTGCAACTGGGGTTGAATATTTTGAATGAGAATGAATATTAGCAGAAAAACTAATTAAACATGATTAAACTACAGTCTGTTGACAGATGACACTACTTAGTGTTAGAAATTTCCAAAACTGCAGCTTAGCATAATTTTATTATAAAAAACGCTGCTCCACCTAATTATCCCATCGAACGAAGTTCGGAGGGATATAGGGAACGCCTCCATCCGTCCGTCCGTACGTACGTCCGTACGTACGTCCGTCCGTCCGGGCAATAACTCAAATACCGTTGGCCCGATTTTGTTCATATTTTGTACACATATAGCCTATGGATGTAGAAGTTCTGCTCGAAAGCCGATTTTCAAAATTGCCGCTCATTTCTAAATGGCAGCCATTTTAGTGCCGAATTTACAGTAATTTAGGTGCAATATGTAAAACTGTAATAGCAATATGTTTTAGATGTAAAAAAATTATATAGGACATTAATAAAGCTAGAAATGTAGATATTAAAGTAGCACATGGCAGCCATCTTGAAAAATGGCGGCCTTTACTCGTTATTTTGCGATTTTTGCTGTAACTCGAAAAGTAGTGGAGCGATTTTGTTCATATTTGGTATGTGAATACTATAAACATTGCACACTGTCTAAAGACACTTTTGGTAGAAGGCGGCCATTTTGAAAAATGGCCGCCATTTTGAAAAATGGCCACCATTTTAACATATTTTACTATAACTCGAAAAGTAGTGGAGCGATTTTGTTCATATTTGGTATGTGAATACTATAAGCATGACACACTTTTGGTAGAAGGCGGCTATTTTGAAAAAAAATTTGAAAAATGGCCGCCATTTTAACGTATTTTACTATAACTTGAAAAGTAGTGAAGCGATTTTGTTCATATATGGTATGTGAATACTATAAGCATGGTACACTGTCTGATGACACTTTTGGTAGAAGGCGGCTATTTTGAAAAAAAATTTGAAAAATGGCCGCCATTTTAACATATTTTACTATAACTCGAAAAGTAGTGGAGCGATTTTGTTCATATTTGGTATGTGAATACTATAAGCATGACACACTGTCCTATGACACTTTTGAAAGAAGGCGGCCATTTTGAAAAAAATTTTGAAAAATGGCTGCCATTTTAACGTATTTTACTATAACTCGAAAAGTAGTGAAGCGATTTTGTTCATATTTGGTATGTGAATACTATAAGCATGGCACACTGTCTGATGACGCTTTTGGTAGAAGGCGGCCATTTTTCAAAATGGCCGCCATTTTAACATATTTTACTATAACTCGAAAAGTAGTGGAGCGATTTTGTTCATATTTGGTATGTGAATACTATAAGCATGTCACACTGTCCTATGACACTTTGGAAAGAAGGCGGCCATTTTGAAAAATGGCCGCCATTTTAACGTATTTTACTATAACTCGAAAAGTAGTGAAGCGATTTTGTTAATATTTGGAATGTGAATACTGTCAGCATGGCACACTGTCTAATGACACTTTTGGTAGAAGGCGGTCATTTTTCAAAATGGCCACCATTTTAACGTATTTTACTATAACTCGAAAAGTAGTGGAGCGATTTTGTTTATATTTGGTATGTAAATACTATAAGCACGGCACACTGTCTTATGGCATTTTTGGTAGAAGGTGGCCATTTTGAAAAATGGCCGCCATTTTAACGTTTTTACTATAACTTGAAAAGTAGTGGAGCAATTTTGTTCATATTTGGTATATGAATACTATAAGCATCGCACATGGTCTAATGACACTTTTGGTAGAAGGCGGCCATTTTGAAAAATGGCTGCCATTTTTGCTATATACTTTGTTTGTAAAAATGCCACCCATGGCTGTTCGATGGGATTCGCTACGCTTTGGCGTTGCCGTTGTTCTGGTTCAATCATTGAAAATATGTATTGACTCTGTGTCACTACCAATGAACCAATTTATATGAAACTCGTACAGTTTCAAGCAAACTAACTATCCTGTCTCATGTTATAGTTTGAGCTTCCAACTCCTCTTATTATAAAATCTAGAGCCAACGGTAAGAAACTTTTTGATCGGCCCTTGTACATGCATATCTGTTTTACAGATATGGCGATGGTCCGTATCAATGTGGTGTGAGCCCCATATGCAGCTGTACTGAGAATCATTGTTATTTCTCGAGAATTATACAGAGCCAGCCCATATTGTATTTGTTTCTGACAATAGAGAATGAGCTAGGACTTATAAAACAAGTTCAAAGGATCTATATGAAGGATCACAGTGAGTATTTATTATTAAATCTATTATTTGTGTTGTCATATTAACTTTTGTGTTTTTTGCAGGCACCCAAGCTTTGGAGATTTGACACCATGTACATCTGAAGACAAGGAGCATAAATCCAGTTGCATCTGTTCTTCAAATCATTGTAACTTTACTCATATTTCTGCCAGGCTTTACCTTTATTTACAAATTGATTTGACCAATGATATTTGTAAAACCACTGCAAGAGAGAGCATAGATACGGAAGCCCATAGTAAATGTACTACTTCATGCCACATGATTGGTGACTGGTGCATAAATCTCTGAAGTAGGATTTCATGGCAACTCATTAGCCAATGTCCCATGCTCAATGAAATCCAAGATGGCTATCCCACTGAAGTTTTGTAACTCTGAGGACAATTTGTTTAAATTAAATTTAATATTTGTTAATGAAAAGTATTTTACCACCTAAAACAATTCAAAAGGACGATTCTCGGTTTGGAGAACGAAGTAACATCAATCTAAATGAGCATTATCCCTGCTTCGGACAAATTTGATTTTTTTTACATAATATAGATTTGAATGTCTTCTTTTGAATAGTCATAATTTAATTTGGGTAATATTTCTTGATTTTTCGCAAAAAAATATCAGCGCAGTACACTGATGAACTTCTTTCCCCAAATCGAGACTTGTATTTTATTGAATCGGTCTAATTGAGCGTTATCCCTGCTTCAGACCAATTTGTTAATTTTACATCTTGTAGATTTAAATGTCCTCTTTTGAATATTCATAGTTTAATTTGGGTAATATTTCTATATTTTTCCTGAAAAAATTATTAGCCCAGGAGACTGTTCTCCAAACCGAGAATCGTCCTTTGAGATGGTTGGTGCTTTTCTTTATATATTTATCTAAAAAGCCAATATATTATCTTATTCCAGTGGTTCCTTATGCTGTAAATAAGGTGAAGCTCATTGTTGACAGCAGTGTTGCAATCAATGTTACTTGGGAGCCAAATGGAGATAAACCAATCAGATCAATCATGTACAGAGTTCTATATAAGAGGGATGACAAGCATCAATGGCAGGTAAGGCCATTCTAAATCAATTATTTGTTTAACATCTTGAAGAAGGGCAAAATCTAAGGAGGGTGGGAGGTGAAAAAACTAGCAAATCAAAAAACAAACCTTTATTGCCTTCATGTAATGATTATATATTATTCAGTAGTTAGGTAATTACATATACAAGGTCAAACATTTCTGACTTTATGTCAGAAACATCCTGCGATTGAGAAATATTATATTGATAAGGGTTATAGAATAACTAGGCAAAACAAAACTTAAGCCAATTTAAAGAGGATTTTTAGAAAATGTTCACCTCTTGTCTCTGTTTAAGAAGGAATTTACAATATGGTGCGCAATTCAAAATGGCCATCAGTTTTCTTAAAAAAGTGATCTTTGATAATTCAAATTTGGTCCAAATCTTATATGCTGATGCCTAGAAATAAAATAACTCTGCTCAAGAAGAAATTTTCAAGATGGCCACTGAATTTCAAAATGGCTGCCATTTTTCTTAAAAATGTAATGTTTGATATTAAACTCAAATACTAGAAGGTGGGTTTGGTTCCAATTTTACATTTTACTGATGCCAAGGAAGAAATAACTTTTGGTTGAAATTTTATACGATTATGCTTTATTGTATAAGACATCTGCTCAAGAAAGAATTTATTATGTGGCATCATGGGTGTTTGCTTATACTACTACTTTTTCTATCATGTAATGTCCATAATGATTCACAAGGTATTTACTATGTTTTGTTTGGTGGGATTTGCTTGGTGGGATTTGCTACTCTATGGAGTTTTCTAGTTACCTTTTTTGATTACAAATTGATTTTTCAGAATGCTGGTGAGACAGACAGGACTTGGTTTCTTGTGGAAGGGCTACATCCATATCAAAACTACACTTTTGATGTGACTGTTAAGGTCGCCTCTAGGAATAGCTCTGATCCTGAAGCATGGAGTGACAGTAAACAGGACAAAGCAAGGACTAAACAAGACAGTGAGTTACTATTGCATATTAAGATGTCATGTAAACTAATAAATGTTTGTTTAAATTTATGTACATGCTTTATGTTATGTACATGCTTTGTGCTAGAATATTGACACTTAGCTGTTTGTTTCAGTCCCTGCTAGAGGGCCAGGCGTCCATGGAGGTGGATTTGAAATAAGAAACTTGAATCAAACTGATTCCACACGAACAGTTGTTCTGTATTGGGAGGTAACCTGTAGGATAAACTCCCTCATAATATTAATGAATATTGAAAATTATTAATTAGTTTAAATTTGTCATACAAAATATACATTGTCAATATTGTATGAACTCTTTTTGATTTGATTTGACTCACTATGTAATTGTTGAGGATGGGTGGGGAACTTGTGGCACAGGAGCTAGACAGAAGATTTGTATTTATTGAAGGATATCCCACAAGAAGATAAGAATGGCATTCTTAAAGATTGTCGTGTCCGTGATGTATCAGAAGATGGTCCTACAATCTCATATAATGCTGCAACTCTGTGTGTTGTTCCTGCAGATAGGAACATGTGCTCCACCACATTAAAACAGGACCGTGTATACAGATTGGTGGTTGAGTGTAGAACTGAAGTTGGGTATAGTTCTACCTTACAAAACTTTATTGAAGTACCCAGAGCTGAACAAGGTAAGTGAAAATGAACTCATTGCTGTGAAACATTTATTTTTTGTTTTGGTCATATTTCATGAATATTCTTATGATGCATCTAATGTAATCATACAAAATGAATATGTGGCAAAAACAGTCGTTATGTCAAATATGCATTTAGTCCAACTCCGTTGATATCTTTATATGGATGTTTACAATAAAAAAAATTAAGTATTCAATTCAGTTATGAACAGGTTATGAAGGAATGTCCCTTTAAATCTGATCGTTTTTTAAATGGATCATTGAATATACTGTAGTTTCATAAAAATGTATCCCTTTTTATCATTACCTCTATTCATACAACATCTTAGTCGTATCAGACACTTATCAATCTGTGCAAGCAGTACTCATTTGGTAAATGATTCACTTTTCCAGTGTTTCCTGTTCAACAACTTGTTGCCCTCAGTGATATAAATAACGTCACAGTGAGGTTCAATATTGGGCCATCAGAACAAGCAACTGTAGTATATTGTCCAAGACAGGGGTTCAGTGACAAAGTTTGTAATGGAAAGGTGAGGAGCAGAGTGCATACAGTTGATAGTTTGTTGTAGCTATTTTGGATACAGCTAACATTGTATATGTAGTTCATTAGCTCACATGGTGAGCTTTTGCAATCACTCACTTGTTGTCACTTTTATAATAAGGGAATAACAAAGATAAATAGACATTAAATTGATTTTAATTGTAAAATATATTTGAAGAGAACTTCTACATATAAGCTCTTGTATCAATTGAGTATTTATTTATAATCCTTTAATGGAACAGTCTAATTGATTGGAAGCTTTGTTGCATGTTTGAATGGATGTATTTTATGGACATTATTTCAGAAACCCATTGTACTTCAAGTCTTGGAGTATGGGGTAACAAGCCATATGATGAGTTTAGAAGGGGCAACTAATAACTTATATGGTGTGTCAGTATTTAATGGGAAGATCCATTCTGGGATAAATTGGGCAGATTGCTTGTATGATTATTCCATACGTAAGTATAAAAGAAGTCACATGCTTAAAAATAGTACAGCTCATATTATATTACAGTATTAAGATTTTAACCTATCAGAGGGGTTAATACAGATGGTGACCAAAACAATTACATGTTTATAATCTGTATTTAAAACAAGCTGATATTAAAAACAGCTGGTAAATAGACAAATGAGTTACATGTACATACTTACAAGTTACAGTTACAATATATTAACCAAATGTCCTTGGCAAACCCTTAACCACAATTAAACCTCAACCCTCAATTAAATTGCTTTTGTTGTATTCAGCAAGGGTTAAAGCTCCTAAAGAAGTTGTTGCCATTGATGACTCTGGTATCAGTGAAAGCTTAACTGTCTCATGGAAATCATATCTATGTAGTGAGATGAAATATCCAGTCTTAGGATGGATTATCCGCTACTATCCAGAGAATGATATTTCTAATGGTGAGTAGCAATCTAATGACATTGTCTTCTACACATTAACTTGATACTTTCCATATACAGTATTAGCCATCTTGATTCACAAGGTTTCGATTGTTCCTACCTCACCTTGATAAATCTGCCCGATTTAACCGGCCACTGTGTAAATAAACCCCAGCTGAGTTCACTCTCAATATTGCCCCTCCTGGCAGTTGCCCGCAGAGTTTTGTGAGATACCAAAAAACCAATCGCCCAATCAATGATGCGATATTTATTCAGTCCGTATAGACATTTTCAATATTTTGTCACGTGATGAAGCAGAGAGTTCTGATTGGTTCCGTGGACTTCCTAAAGGTGGCTTAAGTAATACCTAGCACATTTCCTTTTTCAGTCACAGTACATAATGTTACCGGAGCAAACAAACTCCGGGTAACAATACCAGGAGTACCAGAGGGTAAATATTGTGTTGAGATGTCATCATACTCTGAGGGAGGTCATCAGAGTTATCCAAGTAAATGTGTGATTGTCACTTCAAGATTCATAGGTAATATTTCTCTTAAATCATATTCACACATTGTGTTTAACCATACATTTTGTGGATGGTGTTTGGTTGTTGGTGTTTGTGTCTGTAACAGATGACAGCTGGTGACATTTTGCATCATAATGCCTTGTTTATTCATGAGTTGACATTAATATCATTATTCAGGAATTGATATTAATATCATTCTATTCATAAATTGATAGTAATGTAACACCATTATGTTACCACCAAAAGTGGTGACATATTGTCAGCGTCTGTAACAAACTATTACAACTTCCAATAACTTAACAAGTACTGATTAGACTGTTTTCATTTTTTTTCAAAATCATCTACAAGTTTTCATAAGTTCAAATCCGAATCAATTTTTTTTCAAAATCATATACAAGTTCTTAAAAGTTCAAATCTTTCATAAAAGGTCAAAAAGGTATTTTTCAACTTGCTTCAAATTGACCTTTTTTTATTTTTCAAAATCATTTAAGTTCTCAGAAGTTCAAATCTGACTTCAGATTTAAACTCACAATATTGTGACCAACTAGGTGGTGTTATTTTGCACGTTAATGCCTTTTTATTCATGGATTGATATCAGTATCTTTCTTTTTTCTTTTCTTTTTCCTTATTTCTACCCACACTTGTGAGTATAAAATAGTACATATACATACAATGATAATACAGTTTAGTTTAATTCACTACCACCAATAATCTTCATCAATTTACTTAATTGCACAGAATATTTAATATTAGACAACAAACTTTTAAATTTTAACATATTTGGTTGTCTAATGAAGTAGTTATCTAGAAGTATTTTTCTGTCATCTTCAAAAAGTTTACATTCTAAAATGTAATGGTACTCATCTCCTAGTCTGCTACATTTGGTACACTCTCTGCAAGAGTGCATTGCACATGCAGATATTGATGTGTCATGTGGATTTTTGTTGTCAATTACTATTTCTTATTTTTGTAGGACTGAGACTCTGGCATTGGGGACTAATTGCAGCTGTTTCTGTTTTTGTAGTCCTATTAGCTGGAATAGGATTAAGTGTCTGTTTGAAGTAAATATATTTGGTATTATTTTATATTTGATTATTCAATGATTCAAATACATAAAATATTGCGCCCCAGTAAGTCAGTATTTCATAAGGTGCCATACTTTTTATGTGAAATCTTTAAATCTTTTTAGCAGAAAAGGTCTGACATCAAAGTGTGTGATACAGTGACATTGGAGAGCATTAAGAATCCTGCAATCAATACAAGATATATTTATGCCACGCGGGCAATCAGATTTGTAGCAATCTCAATATCATTTTTTTCATTATATCATCAAGTTCAACAAATCAAAATCTCATTATTTTTCCTTTTTTAATTTCAGACGTGGAAAAGAAGGGATTAACTGGTTTAAGAAATCTGCAACACAACAAATTACTGTGCCAATTGTAATGTTTGAAAGTATAGATGCTAATACTTCAGTAAGTTCAATTTTATGTAACTTTTTCAAAAATCATTCTTCTACTTATGTTATTCCTTGTCTATTATCTACTTTCTAAATTCCAAATGATTCTTAGCTAGCCAACCAAAATTCATTCGTAGCTCAACTTGAAAATCATCGATTTGTGTGTTACTGCTTATGATATTTATATCAGTCCAGTTTCATTATGTCACCGCCAAAAAATGGTGACATATTGTTATGTTCACCATTTTTTTGTGGCAACAGTTGGTGGTTGGTGATTGGTGGTTGGTGATCGGCAGGTGGCGGTTGGCATCTGTAACAAATTCTTAGAACTTCCAATTACTTAACAAATACTGTTGAGACAGACTTCAATTTTTTTCAAAATCATCTACAAGTTTTCAGAACTTCAATATGGTATTACTAAAATGGGTCTTCAGTGCATATTAGAATTTTTCTTCAAAACTCAACTTTTGTTCAAGTTGATTGTCTTTCTAACTAGAGACTTACCTCATTCGAAAGATCCCAAAAGACTTCCAGCATAGTAGAATAAGCCGTCAGTGCGCTTTTGATTTTTTGAAGTGAGTATCTGTAGATCGTCAGATTTTTCCGACTGATATCAGGTTATCTCAAATTGTTTCATTTATAAATACGAATTTCTGCACCCTTGTAAGACGCATGCGCAAAATTAATTTATAAACTTGATTGGTCAATGATTTTCTCCTAAGCATGCGCAAAGTCTGATGAACACTTATGATGAAGACACTTAAAAATCATTACTAGCTCTCGAACAAAAATCCAAAATTCAGATCATTTTGCTATGTTTGCTAAGCGTGTATACGTGAATGACAAGCTGCTGTTTGTAAGGGTTGTCAGACATCGGATTGACCACCATATTTGAAATGAAAATATCACTAAATAGAGCTTTGCACATGTGAAAACATTTCTACTGTTCAATGATCTTTTCAAGGTCAAAAAAAGTCAAAAAGGTATTTTTTCAACTTGCTTCAAATTGACCATTTTTTTCAAAATCATCTGCAAGTTATCAGAAGTTAAAATCTGACTTAAGAGCTGAAAATCTGACCTTCAATGACCTTCTCAAGGTCAAAAAGGCCTCTTGAACTTGCTTCAAATTGACTATCTTTTTTCAAAATCATCTACAAGTTCTCAGAAGTTCAAATCTGACTTAAGATTTGAGATTTCATCTTCTACGACCTTCTCAGGGTCAAAAAAGGTCTTTTTTAAATTGTTTACAGAAATTCAAATCTGACTTAAGATTGAACTAATGATATGGTGAGCAACTAGGTGGTGACATTTTGTCGTGTTAATGCCTTGATTAATTTTCTGGGAGTATGAAAGAACATTTGTTCCAGAATGTGTTTTCACTACTCAAAAAACAACTTATTTTTTGGATGAAATAAAAGACTCCCCTACATTTGAGTCAAAGTTAAGATAAACCTGCTTTATGAGGTTAACAGTGTCTGTCTAAGAGAATCCAAATTCAAAATGGCCATTGAGATTTTTACTATAACTGTAGAAAATGTAGGGGAACAACAAGAGATTTTTTCCCTCCTGATGATATTTTATATGAATTTTTTGCTAAAACTTGAATGCCTGTTTACCAGCTTTGATTATCTTCAAATAAAAAAATATTTTATAGGCTTATAATCACTGATCAGGAAGGCCCCACTCAATCATGCTGATATTGTTGATATTGATTGGGTGTCTACAAAACAAAGACCTAAGACCTACAAAACTAAGACCCCCCACGTTATAAAACTAAGACCCTGTTATAAAACTAAGACCCCCCATGTAATAAAACTAAGACCCTGTTATAAAACTAAGACCCCCACGTTATAAAACTAAGACCCTGTTATAAAACTAAGACCCCCCACGTTATAAAACTAAGACCCTGTTATAAAACTAAGACCCCCCACGTTATAAAACTAAGACCCTGTTATAAAACTAAGACCCCCCACGTTATAAAACTAAGACCCTGTTATAAAACTAAGACCCCCCACATTATAAAACTAAGACCCTGTTATAAAACTAAGACCCCCCACGTTATAAAACTAAGACCCTGTTATAAAACTAAGACCCCCCACGTTATAAAACTAAGACCCTGTTATAAAACTAAGACCCCCCACGCTATAAAACTAAGACCCTGTTGTAAAACTAAGACCCCCCACGTTATAAAACTAAGACCCTGTTATAAAACTAAGACCCCCCACGTTATAAAACTAAGACCCTGTTATAAAACTAAGACCCCCCACGTTATAAAACTAAGACCCTGTTATAAAACTAAGACCCCCCACGTTATAAAACTAAGACCCTGTTATAAAACTAAGACCCCCCACGTTATAAAACTAAGACCCTGTTATAAAACTAAGACCCCCCACGCTATAAAACTAAGACCCTGTTGTAAAACTAAGACCCCCCACGTTATAAAACTAAGACCCTGTTATAAAACTAAGACCCCCCACGTTATAAAACTAAGACCCTGTTATAAAACTAAGACCCCCCACGTTATAAAACTAAGACCCTGTTATAAAACTAAGACCCCCCACGTTATAAAACTAAGACCCCCCATGTTATAAAACTAAGACCCTGTTATAAAACTAAGACCCCCCACGTTATAAAACTAAGACCTCCCACGTTATAAAACTAAGACCCTGCTATTAGAATCAGTCACCGTGCCTTGCACTGCTCGCCACAAGGTAGTCTTGCCTCTGGGCCTTGTGTTCCCCAGTAACATACAACAGCGGATTATATAAAAATGGACTGTAACAAATACCCGGATTTGTTGATTTTTAAAAAAAGTAATTTTTTGATATCACTTTTTATGCCCGGCATAAAAAGTGATGTCCCATTTTATGCTGGCATAAAAAGTGATATCCCATTTTATGCTGGCATAAAAAGTGATATCCCATTTTATGCTGGCATAAAAAGTGATGTCCCATTTTATGCTGAGCATAAAAAGAGATACTCCATTTTATGCTGGTATTGTTTTGGAAGTGATGTTTAATGGTAGTTCAAGATTTAAGACCCATCATTCTGGCACAGATTGCTGAACCATTGTTAGTTAAGAATTCCTAATAGAATTAAGAATTATTAGCTGAAACTGAGTTGTTTTGCCCTAGCAAACAATTTTCCAACTTGTAGTTCAACTTCTTCTGTCTATTTGTTGACAGTCTGTGATGTCATCATCAATCATCACAATAGAAATGAGGTAATTCACGATGACATCACAAAGTACTCTGATGACATCATCAATCATCACAATGGAAACAAGATAATTCATGATGACATCACAAAGCATCTCTGTCATAGATAGAACTCTGCCACATTTCTTAGAAATCAAACTACTATGTGACATCATAGATAATCTCACTGTCACAGATAGAATTCACCTAATTCCCATTGTGATGATTGATGATGACATCACAGACTGTCAACACATATAGACAAAAATGAATTTCAAATGCATATTGGGATATTGTTTGCTAGGACAAACAGAACAGTTTCAGCTATTAATTCTTAATTCTATTAGGAATTCTTAACTGAAATAAGTTCAGCAATCTATGTGAGAAAGATGGGTCTGAAATCTTGAACCACCATGTTACTAGGGAAAACAAGGGTCAGTGGCAAGACTACCATATGTGTATGTTACTAAGAAATTCTCCATCTAAAATGTCACTCGACTTTTTTGTAATTATGAGTCAAAGAAAGCATTCTTGAGTTTCAAATTGACTTCTGTGGTAACTTGAAACCATCTTCTAATTTATTCCACTTACCTTTTATTGTTTCTCCAAATATATTCTTTGAAAATCGGATTTTAAGGGTGTTAATCAGGGTAATTCTGTGCCATTTTATCAAAAATCTTGTTGCTATCTAGAAACGAGCAATTGTGATCTTGTTGTTACCTAGGAACGAGCAACTGTGATGTCACGTCACACTCATGTTAATTCTGGAATCACATGGCAGCCATTTTGGAAATTTCAAAAAAGTTCCCAATTAAAAAGGCTAAATGCTGTTTACAAATTGGAAACTATGGCAGAATCAAAAAAAGGGTTTGTGAAATAATTAGGATATGGTTTCAAAATAATGCACATGACAATATATGACTACTAAATGCAGGCAGGGACTTTTAATTGCCAAAAAGTCGAGTGACATTTTAGATGGAGAATTTTTTAGGGTAAACAAGGGCCAGAGGCAAGACTACCATGTGTAGAATCTTTATGTTAGTGGGGAGAATCTGTATATTAGAAGGGAACACAAGGACCAGAAGCAAGACTACCTTTTGTAGAATCTTTATGTTAGTGGGGAGAATCTGTATATTAGAAGGGAACACAAGGACCAGAAGCAAGACTACCTTTTGTAGAATCTTTATGTTAGTGGGGAGAATCTGTATATTAGAAGGGAACACAAGGACCAGAAGCAAGACTATCTTTTGTAGAATCTGTATGTTACTAGGGAACACAAGGCCCAGAGGCAAGACTACCTTGTGGCGAGCAGAGCAAGGCACGGTGACTGATTCTTATAACAGGGTCTTAGTTTTATAACGTGGGGGGTCTTAGTTTTATAACAGGGTCTTAGTTTTATAACGTGGGGGTCTTAGTTTTATAACAGGGTCTTAGTTTTATAACGTGGGGGGTCTTAGTTTTATAACGTGGGGGGTCTTAGTTTTATAACAGGGTCTTAGTTTTATAACGTGGGGGGTCTTAGTTTTATAACAGGGTCTTAGTTTTATAACGTGGGGGGTCTTAGTTTTATAACAGGGTCTTAGTTTTATAACGTGGGGGGTCTTAGTTTTATAATAGGGTCTAAGTTTTATAACTTGGGGGGTCTTAGTTTTATAACAGGGTCTTAGTTTTATTACGTGGGGGGTCTTAGTTTTATAACAGGGTCTTAGTTTTATAACGTGGGGGGTCTTAGTTTTATAACAGGGTCTTAGTTTTATAACGTGGGGGGTCTTAGTTTTATAACGTGGGGGGTCTTAGTTTTATAACAGGGTCTTAGTTTTATAACGTGGGGGGTCTTAGTTTTATAACGTGGGGGGTCTTAGTTTTATAACGTGGGGGGTCTTAGTTTTATAACGTGGGGGGTCTTAGTTTTATAACAGGGTCTTAGTTTTATAACGTGGGGGTCTTAGTTTTATAACAGGGTCTTAGTTTTATTACGTGGGGGGTCTTAGTTTTATAACAGGGTCTTAGTTTTATAACGTGGGGGTCTTAGTTTTATAACAGGGTCTTAGTTTTATTACGTGGGGGGTCTTAGTTTTATAACAGGGTCTTAGTTTTATAACGTGGGGGGTCTTAGTTTTATAACAGGGTCTTAGTTTTATTACGTGGGGGGTCTTAGTTTTATAACAGGGTCTTAGTTTTATAACGTGGGGGGTCTTAGTTTTATAACAGGGTCTTAGTTTTATAACGTGGGGGGTTTAGTTTTATAACAGGGTCTTAGTTTTATAACGTGGGGGGTCTTAGTTTTATAACAGGGTCTTAGTTTTATAATGTGGGGGATCTTAGTTTTATAACAGGGTCTTAGTTTTATTATGTGGGGGGTCTTAGTTTTATAACAGGGTCTTAGTTTTATAACGTGGGGGGTCTTAGTTTTATAACAGGGTCTTAGTTTTATGACGTGGGGGGTCTTAGTTTTATAACAGGGTCTTAGTTTTATTATGTGGGGGGTCTTAGTTTTATAACAGGGTCTTAGTTTTATAACGTGGGGGGTCTTAGTTTTATAACGTGGGGGGTCTTAGTTTAATAACAGGGTCTTAGTTTTATAACGTGGGGGTCTTAGTTTTATAACAGGGTCTTAGTTTTATTACGTGGGGGGTCTTAGTTTTATAACAGGGTCTTAGTTTTATAACGTGGGGGGTCTTAGTTTTATAACAGGGTCTTAGTTTTATAACGTGGGGGGTCTTAGTTTTATAACAGGGTCTTAGTTTTATAATGTGGGGGATCTTAGTTTTATAACAGGGTCTTAGTTTTATTATGTGGGGGGTCTAAGTTTTATAACAGGGTCTTAGTTTTATAACGTGGGGGGTCTTAGTTTTATAACAGGGTCTTAGTTTTATAACGTGGGGGGTCTTAGTTTTATAACAGGGTCTTAGTTTTATAACGTGGGGGGTCTTAGTTTTGTAGGTCTTAGGTCTTACGTCTTTGTTTTGTAGACACCCGATATTGATTGTTATACTGCCAACAAGTTTCAAATTATATAATATCATTTTTCTAAAACTATTAACCAAAAACCTTATGTTGGTGATTTTATCAGGAAATTGTTATGAATGTATTATTAGATAAAATATGGTACAAATAAAATGTAGAATAACATGTTATATTATGAACATGTTATATTACTAACTGATCCATTGTGGTTTATTGTAGCATTTCGGGGGTTCAGGTAGACAACCTCAAGATGGATACACTGATCCAGAATCTACCAACAGTGGGACACCTTTCTGTCTAGAGAATATTAGTAGTGGACAGACTGATGACTTTTTATCCCCTGTATGTATAAAAGATATTGAATACATTTTCATAAATCCTGGCTCTTGTATTCAGATTTAGATATTGAAGTTCTATGTTGTGTCATATAAATTGGCAAATAGTCTAGAAATTACCCAGACTATTACAATTGTTTGCCTTGATTTTCCTATTGAACTTCATATGTAAGTGTGTGCACAATTATTCACAAGAATTGCATGGCAATAGTCTGATAGTTTAACATTTATCCTAGTAGAAATATTTGGTAAATCAAGAAATAAAGTGTTGTATTATATAATGCTATTCTAGCATGATAAAAACCATCAATGGCATCTATTTATCTCTCTCTCTATATATATATATTATGGTTATTATCTATTAGAGATTCATGTTTTAGTCTTGAAGTGTCTATAAATGGATAGGCCTATATATGACTCCTTAATTGATTATGCACTTCCTTTGTTTATCATATTAGAATCAGTAACAAAAACCTAAATTCTTGTACCTTGAATTTAAAGCTGCACATGGCTTCCCATTTTGGATCTTTTAACGGTGATCAGAAAAATCATTGACTATATCGAGTGTCACCAATAATGACTATCTCATAACATATAATAAATGGTTTCTGTTCATAGGTGGGCTCTGTTAAAAGACAAACCAGCGAAGACAGTGGGATTGTGGCAAATGGTGGGACTCATTTGAATAATGGCTTTAGCCATAGTCTCAATACAGTTCCTGAAGCTAATGGGACTGTGAGTGGAATTTCATGTGAAACAGAGTCGGGGTCATCTATCATGTCTGTGACATCTAGTGCATCACCAACCCAAGTGCCCAGAGATAACTATGTGATGAAATATGAGGGAAAGGTACCAAGAAGTAACTATATATCTCCAGAGGTTAGCAATGAACTTGGCTTTAATGAAGAGAGCCAGCTGTCAAGTAATTTATCAAGCAACCCATCCAGTCAGCCAGTAAAGCACTATTCAAAATTTGGAAAAGGAAACTCTGGAAATAGTTCTGGAACGAGTGGAAGTGGGATTCAGTCATCACCAGGGACTAGTGCTGGCTCAAGTGGAATTCCTAGAGAGTTGGTCATTGAGCCTTCTCCAAATGTTCCAACTACTATATCAGCTACTAGCATATGAATAGTATGAATAGTAAACAAATGCCAAGCGTAAAGCTGTGATATAATCCTTTGAATATGTGTATTAAAAATATATTTTTTGTCAAAGATGGATGCAATTTCAGTTACCAGGGGATGTCCTATGGTATACTTAAAGGAAAACTCAAATTTATAGTGGGTGATAAAATTGCAAGCAACATGTAAAATTGACGTAGCTATGGGTTCATTATGATCTCAAATATAATATCTCCCAAAATATCTGTGATATGTAATAAATTGGTGAAGTTATTTAGATGTAAAGAGTAAAAATGGAGAAAATTTTTTCAAATCTCCCAAATAATAAATATGGTTTTATCACATTTATAGAAAAATGAGAGATTGTAGTAAACTGGTAATCATCTTTATTTTTCATGAAATAAAGTTTGCACATGCCTTGTTACAATTATGAAATGAATAAAATTATGAGTAGTTTGATGAAAAAAGTTCTGTTTAGTGGGACTTGCTACTCCGTTGAGTTGCTATGTTCAATTATTAAATAATGTACATCTTATAATTGTCTATAAACTTATCTGATAGACAGAATAAAACTCGGGGGCCTCCTAATAATAATAATAATAATAACTAGACTTTGGAAATTGAACGAAGTTCAATTTCAGACTCCAGATCTAGACTTTTTTAAGCCCAGTCATCTAAAATAAGCCGAGTCATCCAGAATAAGCTGAGTCATCCAGAATAAGATGGATGGATAAAATAGGAAGGTAGGATAGGATAGAATGGGAAGGAACGATAGGATAGAATAAGAAAGAAGAATAGGATAGAACAGAATATGAAGAAAGGATATGATAGGAGAGGATAGGAAGGAAAGGATACGAAGGAAGGATAGATAGGAAGGATAGGATAGGATCAGATAGGAAGGATGGATGAATTTTTCAATATTTTCTTCTCTACTCTTGACTTTCTATCAGGATGCCATCAGATCGATTTTCCGAAATTTCAAAACGCCATAACTTCCGAACCGGAAGTCGGATCTAAATTTGATTTAAAGTTTCGGATTCCTGACAAAATTCTACCCCTAATTCATAACTCATACGTTAAATTTGGCGAATTTTTATTTTGACCTACTTTTTGGACACGCCATTACTTCGGAACCGGAAGTCGGATCGAAATTTGGTTTGCAGACTCGAATTCCTGAGAAAATTCTACCCTTAATTCATAACTCATATGTTAAATTTGGAGAACTTTTTTTTTTACCAACTTTTCGGACACCATATCTTAAAAGTGGGTCGAAATACTTTCTGACGGCAAAAGGCTAACACTATTAGCACACTCTTTCCTACCTGTATACAAAATTTTGAAGCAAATCATTTAAATATAGTGTCAGAATCGCAAAAATAAGGAAAAACTATGAATTTGACCTAGATTTTGACCTAGGGATTTTGGTGTCCAAATTTTGAAGTTGGGTAGCCTTCGAGGTCCCCTTCTTTCATAGGCTTTCATTATTTTAAGCTGTACTTAGTCTATATCTCGTATTTTACACTTCAAAAAAATCTTTTATCCCATTGACATAACATGGGGCACCAAATTTAGCGATTTTTGAGCTTTCAAAATGTCATAACTTCCGAACCGGAAGTCGGATCGAAATTTGGTTTGCAGATTCGGATTCCTGAGAAAATTCTATACTTAATTCATAACTCAAACGTTAAATTTGGAGAATTTTTTATTTTGACCTACTTTTCGGACACCATATCTCAAAAGTGGGTCAAAATACTTTCTGACGGCAAAAGGCTAACACTATTAGCACACTCTTGGCTACATGTATACAAAATTTCGAAGAATATAATTAATCTGTAGTGTCAGAATCGCAAAAATAAGGAAAAACTTTGAATTTGACCTAGATTTTGACCTAGGCATTTTGGTGTCCAAATTTTTATGAAAAGAAGGTTTTGAGGTCCCTTTCTTCTATGGGCTTCCATTATGTTTAGCTGTGCTTAGTCTATATCTCGTATTTTACACTTCAAAAAAATATTTTTTCCCATTGAATTAACATGGGGCACCAAATTTAGCGATTTTTGAATTTTCAAAACGCCATAACTTCTGAACCGGAAGTCAGATCGAAATTTGGTTTTCAGATTCGGAATCCTGAGAAAATTTCCTATACGACTGATATCCTGGACATTGGATTCGGAGAACTTTTTTTTGGACCTCGTTTTCGGACACTGATATCTCGAAATCGGTTTGAGATACCAAAAAACTAAATCGACCCTAGATTTTCTACTTTTCTATGAGGAACACAATGAAAAAAACCCGGATCCAAAATATTGAAGGACGACCGAGAAAATCGAAAAAAGTGACAAAGTACTGGATTTGACCTAGTTCTTGACCCTTGACCTAGATAAAAAATTGACCCAATTTCCCACCAACTAGATACTGAACCTGAATAAACTGTATTATGGTCCTTACTGGATACCTCATAGTTATTGAAAAAACTCCTAAAGAATAATAAGAATAAGAATAATAAGAAGAATACTGGCAAAAACAATAGACTCCAGATTGACATCTGGAGTCTAATAATAATAAATATGAGCATGCACATTACAGACACAATCCAATTCATGGTGTTGATACTGACAACCACTTCCTTTGTCAAGATGTCTTGGATTGTCTGTTTGTGAATAATGATACTTCACATCTTCAAGTTTATTGAAGATATGAGCATGCACATTACAGACATAATCCAATTCATGGTGTTGCTACTGACAACCACTTCATTTGTGAATATGTCTTGGATTGTCTGTTTTGTGAATTATGATGCTTCACATCTTCAAGTTTATTGAAGATATGAGCATGCACATTACAGACATAATCCAATTCATGGTGTTGCTACTGACAACCACTTCATTTGTGAATATGTATTGGATTGTCTGTTTTGTGATTTATGATGCTTCACTTCTTCAAGTTTATTGAAGATATGAGCATGCACATTACAGACATAATCCAATTCATGGTGTTGCTACTGACAACCACTTCATTTGTGAATATGTATTGGATTGTCTGTTTTGTGAATAATGATGCTTCACATCTTCAAGTTTATTGAAGATATGAACATGCACATTACAGACATAATCCAATTCATGGTGTTGATACTGACAACCACTTTATTTCTGAATATGTCTTGGATTGTCTGTTTTGTGAATTATGATGCTTCACATCTTCAACTTTATTGAAGATATGAGCATGCATATTACAGACATAATCCAATTCATGGTGTTGATACTGACAACCACTTCATTTGTGAATATGTCTTGGATTGTCTGTTTTGTGAATTATAATGTCCATATTTTCAAGTTTATTGAAGGCATGAACATGCAACACCAATTCATGGTGTTGCTACTGACAACCACTTCCTTTGTCAAGATCTTGGATTGTCTGTTTTGTGAATTTTGATGTATCACACAATATAGACATACACATTACAGACATCATCCAATTCATCGTGTTGATACTGATACCCACTTTCTTTGCCACGATGTCTTGGATTGTCTGTTTAGTGAATTATGTTGTTTACAACTTCAACTTTATTACTTAAATCAAGACATGCACATACACATTACAGACATAATCCAGTTTATAGTGTTGATACTGTGACAACTACTAGTTGTCTTCAGTTGCACCTTTCTATAATACAAGTATATTATGCTAATGTTTAATGTAATTAATTGTTATGTCATGGTTTTGTGCCATCTTTGTATGATATAACTGTACTAAGTTGCATTTGCTACTTGATGTTTTTCTATGACAATGTGTCAAGTCTGCATAGTTCCTTTCTGGATAGTCAAAATTTCATCTTGCTATTATACAACTATGCTACTTCATGTTTTTTACCTTGTGAAAATTGTTGATAGGTGTCCTAAATTGTATTATACTCTGATATTGAAATCTCTATTTCATGGTATGTGATCATGTAAATATTATTGCTTTCCATTTATTAAAATAATATAATTGTTTATAATGTAATGACACCTGTTCCTTCCTTTAGATGACAACTTGTATTTAACTGGACCCTTGCTCTTTTGTATTACACTGCCATACTGTGATGTACACTTTTGTGTTACACTGCCATACTGTGACATTCAGTATTTAATTTTTTGTTTATGGCCATGTCTATAACTATGTTATTATATGTCACAACTATTGTATCCAGTTTTAGTTTTATTATGCTTTGAGGTTGCAATTTTTACTTCATAGTATGTCACATCTGACAAGCATTTGAATGTAACATATAGCTGTTAGTTTCTACAGCAATTGAAATGAAAATGAATTTTGTGATATGCAACTGTAAATATAAATATATTATACTCTGAAGCAATTTTGACTGATGGTGTGGGATTATGCAACAGATGTTGGTTGTCTCCAGCTGCACATTTGTATAAATATATGTTATGCTGGACAGCTACTATCTTTATTTTGGATATGATGTAACATGGCAAATGTTGTATTATTAAAATTGTATCATATGCATATTAATAGACAAATAATTGAATAATATTTGTTATAGGACATCCATATGTATTATTATTTTGTTGGTAAACAATTTCATAAAAGGAAACCATTGGACTATCATTGTTGACATACTTTGCTATGATAACATAGCCATATTAGGCAAGAACCTCCAGCAGGAAATAATGAACTTTAAAGCAATTATTCCAAGCAGTGATTGATGAACTATATATCTCTACATGAGAACATAGGCCATATAGCTAAGATCATCTTGAGGCATCAACCAAGGAACCAAACTATAGCTTCTCTCTAAGCCTACACAGCACAAAGGAACTTAAATAATGAATATAATTCTATGTACTTGGAGTTTTAATATAAGATGAACTATTAAAATATAAGATGAACTATTAAATGTTTACTGTTTGCAAATGCAAATTGCACAGAATGAATGCTTGGACGTCATCCCATGGCAACAAATGATACATTGTCCAATTTATTATAAAATGATGTACATTACTATGTCAT